TGGGGCTCTCACCCAGAGTTACTCTGGGGACCATATAAGACAAATGCTCTACTCCTAACCCACGGCGCCAGCTCATCCCTATTTCTTTTCTTTTCTTTTCTTTTCTTTATTTTTAAATATTTTATTGATTTGTTTGCTTTTTGGGTCACATCCAGCGATGCACAGGGGTTACTCCTGGTTCGTGCACTCAGGAATTACTCCTTGCCGTGCTCGGGGGAACATACGGGATGCTGGGAATCGAACCTGGGTCGGGCCGCGTGCAAGGCAAACGCCCTACCCGCTGTGCTATCACTCCAGCCCCAGCTAGCCTCAGCTATTTCTTTTCTTTTAATTTGGCTTCTTTTTTTTTGGCGATGCTCAGAGGAATTACTCTGCACTCAGGAGCATTCCTTGCAGTGCTCAAGGAACCGTATAGGATGCCGGGACTGGACACAGGTTGCTTATGTGGATTCAGTTTCCAAGTAGATTATTTCCATGTACAAGGCAAGTACCCTATTCACTGTGCTATCGGTCTGGCCCAGAGTCTACTCCTTTTTCTTTAAAAAATTCGGGAGGCTGGAGAGATAGTAAAGCGGGTAGGATGCCAGCCTTGCACACAGCCAACCCAGGTTCAATTCCCTACATCCCATATGGAACACCGTCAGGAGTAATTCCTAAATGCAGGGTCAGGCATAACACTGGGTGTGGCCCACAAAGAAAAAATACTTATAGGCTGCGGGAAGAGATCACAGTGGTGAAGGCTCTTTCATGCAGCCCACTCTGGTTTCGTCCCTGAATGGCATGTGGTCCAAGCAATACCAGTTGTAATCCGAGCACTGAGCCAAGAGGAAGCCCTAATGAGCCCCACCAGATATAGCCCCAAAACAGAAACAATTTTTTTTTTTAAATTTTGGTGTTTTCCATTGCTATCGATTTGATGCCTAGTGACACATGCAACACTTGTGTTCTCCCAACCCCATGGGTCACTATAATCTTCAATGTAAGAATAATTTGCTGTGTAGGTTTTTACCGCTCAATTCTTTTGTACATTAGAAATCTCTGCTTAAAACTCAACCAATATGGGCTGGAGCAATAGCAAAGCGGGTAGGGCGTTTGCCTTGCACGCAGCCGACCTGGGTTCGATTCCCAGCATCCCATATGGTCCCCTGAGCACCTCCAGGGGTGACTCCTGAGTGCAGAGCCAGGAGTAATCCCTGTGCATCGCCGGGTGTGACCCAAAAAGCAAAGAAAAAAAAAACCCTCAACCTGCATATTTGAGTTGGAGTTTTCTTTTATAAATATTAACGTGAAGTGTCATGACTAGTCTAAAAAGAAAAACGTAAGACAGGAGAAAGGGCCTAAGGGCTGGGGTACATGCTTTGCATGAAGGAAGTCCAGGTTTGAACCCCAGCACCATTTGATTCCCTGAGCACTGAGCTAGGAGTAGCTACTGAGCACTTCCAGATGTGCCCCCCCAAAAAAAACCCCACCTCATTTACTAGCTTATTAACCACCGTTTCAGATTAATTAGGCTATAGAATAAATATGCTTTTTGTTTCTGGGATACGTCCTGTGATGCTTATTATAGGCTCGGTGCTCAGGGGATCATGCAGTGCCAGAGATCAAATTCAGGCCTCCCACAAAGTGTGTGTGCCAGCCAGTTGAGCTGTCGCTCTGGCCCTAAATATATATCTCAATATATGAAATTATTTTGCTTAAAAAAAGAGGGGGAGTCCCTGATGTTGCTAACTTCTGAAAAACTTGCCAAATGACAAATGGTGCTTAGAAATGCCAATTTTTAAGTTCCTTCTGGAATTTCCAGGTTAGTATTCGTAGCACAGAGCTTAATCCATGTGGCCAGTTCTATGCTAACTTAGTAAAGTTACAGTTTTCTCCCTGGGGTGTCTTAATTTTGACACAAATTATTAATCCAGGAATGGAAAGGTGACATTACTAGAGTTTATAAACTTGGTATGTCCATATTTTAGGTGCTTGGACTGAAATGCTTCCTTAAAAATTACTCTTAAGAGTTTCTACTCCTGGGGCTGGAGTGATATAGCACAGCGGGTAGGGTGTTTGCCTTGCACGTAGCCGACCCAGGTTCGATTCCCAGCATCCCATATGGTCCCCTGAGCACTGCCAGGGGTAATTCTGAGTGCAGAGCCAGGAGTAACCCCTGTGCATTGCCGGGTGTGACCCAAAAAGCAAAAAAAAAAAAAAAAAAAAAAGGGTTTCTACTACTGGCATCTGGCTAAGCACTTAGTCTGAATGCAGCTGACTGGCTTCTATTCGGGGCACTGCTTATGGCCCGCAAGCACCACCAGGGGGCACTTCTGAGCACAGAACCGGCTTTATGCGTTGAGCTCTTCCAGGTGTGACCCAGTCCCTGCTCCCCGCAAGTACACAGTACAAAAATATTTATTGTTAAAAATTTGGTCATAATCTCTGCTTTGCCCCTTCTCTTTTCCAGCCAACTTCCTGGTACTGATTGTAGGCCTATTAAAGAACTCTGTGATGTCTGTATTCTCATAATCATTCTTCAACCTTTCATTTTCACTTGCTCTTTACACAAGAAGAAATGTATGAGTACCAAGTGTTTTTAATTGAACAAATATTTATACCCTGCCCACACCAGCTGCTTGCCTAACCTCAGGTCCTAAGGAGCACTGCATTACCAGTTTCTGTTTCTATAGTGTGTTTCTGCTGCTTACTCACTGTGTCAACACTAAAATTCACTGTAAGCATTAGCTGGGATGCAGTTTCCAAAAGGGAAACCTCCACACAGGAAGGGTTTGATTAATCTGGGTCAGAGCCAGCACAGCGATAGGGCGCATCTAAGCTGGGCTCCGCACGTCCCTAAGCATGGCGGTGGCCTTGCAAGTGTCGGGTCCAAAGGGCCCTCGCATGCAGCCAGCAGCCTGGTTTGCCCAAGTATTGCTGGAGTGGCTGGGAGCCTCCAGGCCCAACTCCAACTCTTCCCCCACCACCTCACGCTGGCAGTGATAGGGGACTGGGGTAGGGGGCGGGGGTACACACATGGGCCACCGTGATGACCAGCACTGCATCTTCCTAGGGACGGTACTTGCACACACTTGTCTGGCTAGAATCGCACTCTGCAGATGGGGCAGTGCTGGGCACCCAGCTCTCCACCTCAGGCCTGCAAGGCCAGCCCCGCCCCCTCTCAGCCTTTCCAAACTCATGCTCAGGGAAGGAAAGAGTTAAAAGCAAAAGCAAAAATCCAAGATTCTCAGGGGTGCCAGAGATCAGCACAGGAGTTAAAAGATGCTTACCTTGCATTTGGGTTTACTCTCCAACACCACATGGTCCTCTGAGCACTGCTGGGTGTGGTCCACGAATTTCCTTGCTCCCTCCCCGCTCCCTAATTCTAGGGTTAACTGCAAGCCCAGGGAATCGCCAGTGCTTCCTCTTGCAGCCATTCACCACCCAGCTCATCACTGGCAGGCAGAGTCAGCGCTCAGAATTAAGGGCGAGGGCAAGAGCTCCTTCACGCCACAAGAGTGGCTTCAAAACCAGAAGACGGGTTTTCTCCAGTAAACGTTTTGGAGCCTGTCTTTGAAATCCTGACTCTGAGGTGCTTTGTGAGTATGAGGAAAAGCTGTAGGTATGTCACTGTATGTCACTGTCCTCCCGTTGTTCATCGATTTGCTCGAGCGGGCCCAGTAACGTTAGAGACTTTTGTTGTTACTGTGTTTGGCATCTTGAATACATCACAGGTAACTTGCCAGCTCTCTGCCATGCGGGCGAGATACTCTCGGTAGCTTGCCAGGCTCTCTGAGAGGGGCGGAGGAATCGAACTCGGGTCGGCCATGTTGGGTGCGTGCAAGGCAAACGCCCTACCGCTGTGCTATCGCTCCAGCCCAGATACTCTCGGTAGCTTGCCAGGCACTCCGAGAGGGGCGGAGGAATCGAACTCGAGTCGGCCATGTTGGCTGCGTGCAAGGCAAATGCCCTACCGCTGTGCTGCTGTAGGTAGCATCATTAAATACGAATTCGAACATAAACATTTAGTTCTGATTTTGGGGCTACACCCAGTGATGCTCAGGGGCTACTCCTCGGTGCTTATCTTCTTAGTATTTGGTTTCTCTAGTTGGCCCTCGGAGTTCTGAGGAGGGGCCTTTTCAACAGTGCCCTGAGATCTGGGAGCCACTCCAAAGTACTCACCCAGGATACGCAAGTGCAGCAGTGAACATGGGCCTGATGGTTTGGTGCTCACACCCTGTAGGGTGGAGCTTTGTATGGTGTCTCCAGGGGCCAGTCAGTACCAGGGAGCAAACTCGGGGCCTGCTCAAGCAAGGCATGTGCTCCCTTCCTCTTCCTGGCTTTGGGCAACTCATGAGGGAAATTGGCAAACAGTGACCTGCTTTGTTGGAACAAAGCCATGGGCTGTTATGCTACCGCGGTGCAACAGCTCACTGGCCAGCACCCTGGACTCTGGACTTCCCCCTTCAGACAGGCGCTTATCACCCCCATTGTGAAATCCCTGAGCACATGACACCCGGGCAATCAGAGAAGCTTAGCTTATCTGCATTCCAGTTTCCAAGAGTTTTTTTTCCTCCAAAGTAATAAACGCATGAAGATTTGTCAGGATCTATCCCCTGGTGTTCCTTCAGGAACAGAGGTCAGCAGGAACTACCTGAAAGCGATCTGGGCCGAGGCTCAGCACCACAGGAGGTCGGGGCTGGCTCTAGGGCCAGATGGGCAGTGAAGGCATCGAACGGCACCAAGCAAGCATCTGGTCAGCTTCTGCTCGCTGCATTTGCCATTGCTCTAAATTTTCTTGGAGCAAGTAATGTAAATTTATTTTATGCCACCCACGGGGGCACGCGGGGGAGGGGGAGCTGGGGTGGGTGGGGAGGAAACTGTGGCCATGGGTGGAGGGAGGGTCGCACTGGTGCTGGGATTGGTATTGGGACATCGTATGTCTGGAACAACTGTATCAGGAGTAACTAACTGCAGATCATGGTGATGTAATATTTTTTTTAAAAAAATGACTCCTGGTGGACTGAAATGAAAGACACATTTCCACTAGAACAGAAATCCTTTTTTTTTAATTCATTGAAAAGTGCAGCAGTGAACAGGGTCCTTTGAAGGGCACTTTCTGAGTCAAATGACTGGTGACAAAGAGCCAGAGCAGAAAGAAAAAACCTCTTAGGAACAGACGGTGCAGACAGGAATCATACACTCAGCGGGCCCCTCAGTGGCGGGAAACGGAAGAACCCAGTTCCCCACTCTAATCCCACTGACGGAGCAGCTGAAATACCCTTTGCTTTCTCTAATGAAGGATCCAGGACAATTTGTCTTTCTTTTTTTAAAAAAAAAAGCACTTATCCTTTAGAGACTTAAAAATTAGTAACATTTCTCATTTAGGTATAACTTCCATGGCTATCATTCATTAGTCTTTTGTACAAAAAAATTCTAGTATTCACTGGGGCTAGAATAACAGTCCAGCGGGTAGGATGCTTGCTCTGCATACGGCTGACCTGGATTTGATCCCTGGAACCCCAGATGGTCCCCAAGTCTTGCCAGGAGTGACCCCGGAGCACAGAGCTAGGAGTAAACCTGACTACCGCTGGGTGTAGCCCCTCGAATCCTGAAACAAAAAAACCCTAGTATTTTCAATTAAAACATACTTGCATCAGCACCACTGGTCACATTCAAAGATGGTCAAATGTTGTTTCCTACTTTATAAGTTTAGTTGAGGGAAAACTATAAGAACTCTTGACAAGGCAAAAATTTATTCATTCCTATGGCCTCTGTTCACGCCTAATGATTATACAGTTTTCTATGTATAGAAAAGGACATTGACAGATAAGAACCCGGCCTTTTACGAAGGGAAAATCATCGCAATTCAAACTAGCACTTTTCAAACAGGGCTCTTGTCGTGGTCCCTTATCTATAGTCAGACATGCTGAGTCCATTAACTGAGGGCCCCTGTCCGATTGTGATCCAAGCACAGATCCAGAACAAAGTCAGTTCAGGTGAAAACTTGGAGGTTGTGCAGAAGGTAGGTAGGAGGGGTGCACGGCAGGGGGCTGTCGGCAGGGAGCTGGGTCCCCCTTATGGCTTTATCTGCTTTTGGGAACCAGCATCATGGAACTGAGCAACAGGACAAGACCTGGTGAAAGTTGGCTTCTTTTTATTTGGGCATAACTGGTAAACTTTTATGAATGTGGAAGCTGAATGTTGACTGATGAATGTTAAGAGTTAAAAGTGTCAGACGAAGCGCACATCATATTCAACGCTGTAGTCGGCTTTTAGTTCTGGAAGTCCTGGGACTGAGTTCCCTAAGACATTCAGACACAGGTGTTTGTCTCGGTTGCCCTTCCCATGCCTCTGGGCCCCGCTTCAGTTACTGAGCGTGCATGAGGTAAAGGAATATCCCCGATGGCTACTAACCAACATGGCTCTGCGATGCCAGAGCAAAGTCACTGACGGCCATGTCTACAAAGTACTTAAGGCTCAACCAAAGACCTTCACTAAAGCTACAATCACTGCTGAGGTAACAGGTGGTACCACAACACTTCCTCCTCCCTGCGGGTCCCACTATCAGTGAGCCTGATGTGAAGAAAATAGTGGAAAAGGGAAAAAAAAAAATCTTTGCCAAGGAATACAACTGAACGAAACAAACAAAAAAAGTGTTTTTAAACTACACCCAGGGGTACTTCAGGAGACCAGTGGGGTGCCAGGGATTGAACCCAGGTCAGCTGCATGCAAGGCAAGCGCCCTACCCCTGTACTAATGTGTCTAGTTTTGTTTTGGAACCACACCCAGCAGTGCTCAGGGGTTACTCCCAGCTCTGCACATAGGTATCACTCCTGGTGGTGCTTGGGGGAGCTTAATGGATGCTGGGAATAAAATCCAAGTGGGCTTGCACCCCTTGTTTGTTTTTTTAAAGCAGGGAAGAAACCTCAGCAAGATCTGGTTTTGACAGAACAGTGACTGGGACCCATATTCTACAGGGGCTCTACAGAAGTCCTCTGAAAGGGGAGGATGAGGGAGGGTTTTCTCTCCTGGTTGGTACTCTGCATCAATTCTCGGAAATTTTTACATCTTACAACAAAGAGTATCAGCCACACAGAATCAAAACATCTTCACATATGGGACCCACACCCAGCTTCCTGTTGGACAGGAAGTTCCTCCCAAGTGCAGCCCTTCATCCTGTCAACTTCATCCAGAGAGCTGGTGGGCAGAGGCCTTCAGAAAAACAACCTTCACCTTACCATTGGGAGCTTTTATTTATTTATATATATATTTTTTAAAAAAAAAACCTCTGCTGCCATACTGGGTAACTAACTTTAGATCTCAAAGGCGAGAAGAGATGTTCCTTCCTGCTCCATGACACGTTGGTGTCAGCACTGCACCAGTCCCGTATTCAGAAAATGAAACCAAAAATTACCAGCTTGGTGACATGTTTTGAATCCGTTTGGAACCTCACACTGCCAGAGAGGTTATATAAACAATGTATTTCTATGAACTGTACCGCCTCTGGACCATGGTTCCAGGAAGCCACGATTCCGCTGCTCGAATGGTTGGTTCTTCTTTAAGCCATGTGTGAGGTTAGTACTTGGGAAGAGGGAACAGCTCAGTCGGAAACGCTATGAGGCTCCGTGAGGTCAGGTCAGGCTGTACAACCAAAACACTCCTCCTGCCACTCAGTATTGCCATTTATCTGACTGCTTTACAAGCTCACACCACACGCGGAGCATCGGGGACTGTGGTCACGGGACAGAAAGGGGGAAACAAAGAGCTCGGGGCAGCAGGAGCAGCCGAGAGGGGACCCCGGCATCTGCTCCTGCCCCAGGGCGGAGTTCACAGTTTAACACATTGCACAGGAAGTCGCTGATGGGGCTGCGCGCTCCCACGGGACTCACACACAGCCAGTCGGGACGCTCCTCTGGCCGCGGGCTTGCAGATTAGATACAGACAGGACTATCATCACTTCATCAGCAGAGGCGGCAGGGATCCGACCGCTACAGAAGATGCTTTGAAAACCTCCGAGTCCTGATACTGCCCTGATTGCTGCTGAACATGAGGCGAGGGTTGAACCTGTATCTGGGAGGGGAAAACCAGACCGCAAGGTTATCTCCAGGTTATGGAGGGAGCAACGCAGCCACCCAGGGGCGTGCATCGGTGGGGCGGAACAGGAGCGCTTACGAGCGGAGGGCCGTGTCTGGCATGGGCCAGCAGCCCATCACGCAGCAGAGAGGCAGAGAGGAAGCGAGCAGTCTTGGGGTGCTGAAAGAAGGCAAGATCTGAAGGACTCCCATTATGGAGGAGTCTAGAGTTTGCCCAAAGCCCTGCCATTATTTCAGAGTTAATTTCTTTTCCCTTTGGTTTTGTTTTTTGGGGCACATCTGGTTAGTGCTCAGGGCTTACTCCTGGCTGTGCTCAGGGATGACTCTTGGTGGTGCTGCTTGTCAAGCAAGTGCCCTTACCTGCTCCAGCCCCAGAATTTCTTCCTTCAGCTAAGACTGTGGTGGGGAGGAGTGTAGGCATACTCCTCAGACACTCCTGGTGGCGCTCAGAGGACCTCTGAGGTCCACCCAGAGCTAGACACGTGTAAGGCGAGTGCCCTACATGCTATCTATCCCTCCAGCAGCAGGAAATGCTCATCTCCCTCAACACTCAAACCATGCCTTGGTGCGCTCCAGAGACTAGTTTCAGGACATTAACTTCCACCTTCCACCTCCAGATACCCAGATCTTCTGTGTCCAGTGCTCACTGTGGGCTCAGTGCATGAAGGTGGGATGAGCAGACCCACACAGATCAGTCCCACGTGTTCAGAGACCACGACCGGTCATTTTACAGCAAAAGGGTCCTATTTCTGCTCTGCTTAGCTTTTAGTTTTGGGGTCCCACTGGTGGAGCTGGCAGCCCCTCCCAGCTGCTCTGACGTTTGGGGGTCACTCCCAGGAGTCAGCAGGGAAGGGGATCAAACCCAGGGCCCTTTGCATGATCTCCCCACTCCAGGATTACATTCTTTTTTTTTTCCTTTTTTTTTGGCTCAGAGGCTACTCCTGGCTCAGCTCTCAAGGGATCCTTCCTGGTAGTGCTCCAGGGGCCAGGTGGGATGCCGAGGATCAAACCCGGGTTGGCTGCATGCTAGGTAAGCCCCACTGCTGACACACTTTTCCTGCTCTAACTGGGACTGGGAACGCTGGGTAGCCTCTTCATGGGAAAAGACCAAGAACTTTCCAGCAGCTTCAGTCAGGACCACTCCTCCCCTCTCCCTCGAAGAGAAAAGAAATAATCCCTCCCCGGTCAAAGTCTGATTTCCCCGATTCTCCAGCAGCTTTGGCACCCGCAGTGCTGAGCAGGAGCTGGGGGAATGGGGGGTGGGCACAGATGCTGCCTGTCAGGTGTGCGGAGGCCTGGGTCCCCCACGGGATGAATGGCTGCGGCTGCTCAGGCGCCGGATACACTCCTGACCAGCGAGCAGCCGCGTCTGGGGAGGCATGGGCTCCTGGAAAGGGCCAGGGAAGGTGGGTCTTCTCTAAACTTTCTCATTATTATTATTGGGAAGGGCTGGAGCGATAGCAGTGTGGGTAGGGCGTTTGCCTTGCACGCAGCCAACATGGCCGACCCGAGTTCGATTCCTCCGCCCCTCTCGGAGAGCCCGGCAAGCTACAGAGAGTATCTCGCCCGCACAGCAAAGCCTGGCAAGCTATCCCTGACGTATTCGATATGCCAAACACAGTAACAACAAGTCTCACAATGGAGACATTACTGGGCCCGCTCGAGCAAATCGATGAGCAACGGGAGGACAGTGACAGTGACAGAGATTATTGGGAAAGACGAGGAAGGAGAGGCTGCTAATATCCCAGGGCTGGGATGAATAGAGACGTTACTGGTGCCTGCTCAATGAACAGTGGGATGACAGCAATACAGTGGTATTTTCAAGCAGCCCCAAGTGTTACCAGTACAATCAAGTGGCACCACAAGGCTCGAGGCAGGGAAGGGGGCAAAGAGGCCCTGCAGTGTGGAGGCGAGCAAGCTGAGGCTCTGGGACACAGGTCAGGGTTCGAGCAGGGTTTCCAAGCTTCTCTACCCAGCACCACGGCCAGGACAGGTTTGCGGCTCCCCAGCCAGGGGCGACAGACAGGAGTCCCACCCCAGCTCCCTAGCACAGCCGCTAGACACACGCGGCAAAGCTCTCCAAGAAAGCAGGCAGCTTACCCAGGGTCGAAGACCCCTGGAGTGCGGCAGGTGGGTCCCGAGCAGGACTGCAGCATCATGAGCCGGTAGTTCATCTTCCCTAGCAGCTCCGGGTCTATGCTTTTGGCAATGTTGGTGATCTGGTGTGGGTCTGCGGTCAGGTTATAGACTTCCACAAACACCTACAGGACGCGGAGGACAGAGGAAAGGGCAAGGTCACAGCTGAAGGACATGTGTGCGACCGTTTCCACACGAGGAGGGGGAGATGAGAATGACATAGGGGCTGAAGTCCTCCAAGGGCCCGGCTGAACGCTGAAGACGGCAGAGTCTATTTGGGGGGGGGGGAATGGGGTCCCCACAGCTCTGGGTCTGTGTCCCAAATGCTGAAAAGGGACTCCACACCCAGGGCCTTCCGGCAGTCAGAAGGGTGCAGAGGGGACAGACATGCATCACCCACTGGAATTTTAGGGGAGAGCAGAACACAGGACGCCCCCTACAAATGCCAAAGTCTCAGAAACATGACAGTTGCAGCCTTCCTGCAGACAGCACGTTGGAAGGCCGAGCCCATGCTCGACAGGTGGGACGCTCAGATTCCTGCTTTCAGAGCACGCGCGAATGTTTGATGCCAATAGCAGGAGGGAACTGCACAACACTCAACTCCTGACACGTCCCTGGAGGGAATGAGCCACCAGGTGGTAGATTTTGCAGTTATCAGCAGATGCTAATAAGTTAGAGGTCACCAAACTGCCGCTTCTCAGGGGGGGACGCCCCAGGCCTGTTGCCCACACTGACTAGGCGCCTGCCGGAGGTGAGTGCCATCTCTGGGCAGCACGGCGGACATCTGCACCAAGAGCTGGCGAGACCTGCATTCTGAGAGTGTGATGCTTCCAGTGATCGGCAGTGACCTCTGACCCTGCATCCTGGTCACCTCACTCACTCGAAGTCACCTTTTCCCAGGGACAGAGCTCTGGGTTCTGCCTTTGGCCCCTCCTTGACCCATGTCGACAATGCTGTGGTGAGAGCAGACCTTGCTCTGCACCAGTGCGCTGCAGGAAGCTTGCACAAGCACAGTCAGTCAGGGTCTCCCTCGCCCACCAGGAGGGACAGATAGACCGGAGTGTTTCACCGGGTGGGCCGGAGTAACAGCACAGCGGGGAGGGCGCTTGCCTTGCATACAGCAGGCCGGGACTCAGTTCCTGGCATCCCATATGATCCTCCCGAGATCTCCCAGGAGTGATTCCTGAGTGCAGAGTCAGGAGTGGCCCCTTCCCCCAAAGTGCACTGAGAGTACATGTGGGGAGTGACATCGGCACCCACAGCAGTTCCCAGTCCGTGAGAGAGGGGAAGCATGGGCCTGCCAAGCTCAGGGCTGGTTTCTTCCTGTCTGCGAGGCTGGGGATCAATCCCAGGCCTGCCCGCACGTGAGGCTGCACCCCCGGGTCCCAATTCTCCTTCCTTAAGGGAAGGAAGGGCAGGTGCACGTTCAGATACGCAGTCCCCGCGTCGCCGGAAGCATCCCTGGAACTGCTCTTCTGCCCCTGAGTCCCCCAGGGTCAGGGTGTGGGTCTTGCTCACCTCCTGGTCGTCGAACTCACAGTACTGAAGGTCCCAGCGGGCCGACAGTGTCCTCACGCATGCGTAGGTGTTGTTGTAAGCGTCCTCACACACGCAGTCGGGGAAGCATTGCTGGAAGGAGATTCTGAAGTAAGTGAAGGCCATTCCCTGCAGTAACAAGGGCTACTCTGCCTACGGGGGCAGACAGGGAGACCCAAGCCAGACACAGAAATGGGCAGAAATGACGGTGTTTCGACAGAACACTGTGATGCCCAGGGGTTACTCCTGGCTCTGCACTCAGGAATTACTCCTGGCATTGCTTCAGGGACCATATGGGATGCTGGGGATCGAACCCAGGTTGGCCGCATGCAAGGCAAACGCCCTACCCACTGTGTTCTTGCTCCAGCCCATAAAATTCAGTATTTTAAGGAAAAGTAGTGCTATCAGAAAGGGTAGGAAAACAAAAGGGTATTGAAAAAAATGTTGCAGAAATTAAGATGTAGATTGCACGCATTGATAGCATGCTGGTGGAATCACTTTCAGGACTTTGCCTCTGTCCATCTAGTAATATTCCACAGTCAGGAGAAGAAGTCAGGTGAGAGAAGAGCAGGACTCAGAGATCAAGGCTTTTTTTGGGGGTGAGTTGGGGGCTACATGGCTGTGCTCAGGGGTCACTCCTGGTGGTCTTCGGAAACCATCTGGCATGTTGTGTATTGAACCTGGGGTGTACAAGGCAAGTGCCCCACCTTGGTCCCACTCTGGCCCTGAGATCAAGGCTTTAAAGCTTCTGGTCTGGTTTATGGGCCACACTGGACAGTGCTCAGGGACTGCTCCCAGCCTCCTACCTGCAAAGCAAGCACACCCGGGCCACTGAGCTGTGCCCCCAGCTCCCAGGCTTTTAGTACTTTTATTACCTGGCACTGGGCTGGAGCGAGAGCACAGTGGGTAGAGCGTTTCTTTTGCACGTGGCCGACCTGGGTTCAATTCCTCCGTCCCTCTCTGAGAGCCTGGCAAGCTACCAAGAGTATCCCGCCCACATGGCAGAACCAGGCAAGCTCCCCGTGGCGTATTCGATATGTCAAAAAACGTAACAAGTCTCACAATGGAGACGTTACTGGTGCCCGTTCGAGCAACTCGATGAATAACGGGAGGACAGTACTACAGAGCTACCTGGCCCATGCAAACAATAGCCTGCTCTGCTGTCAGGGAGAAAGCTACTACTCACAGACACTCCCGGACTCAGGGAGGGGCATGTCGGGTCAGTGACATCACGGCCTTCTCCTTGATACTCCACCAGGACGTCTGATCGCCAAGTCAGATTACTGGCACCTCTCTAGGAAGAGCAGAAACGGCCTCCGTCAAGGCACACAGACTTCAAAAAGGGCCGACGCGCACTACTCTGGACGAAAGGAAACGAGGAGGCCAGCCCAGCTGGCTACTCATTAACACAGGGAGTGACCAGAACTGACACACTGCCCGCTGCTGAGAGCTGGGATTGGCAGGCAAAAGGGCCCTTAGAGGGATGGTCAAGGGCCCTGAGCATAGAACAGAGATATCCCAAGACTGATTGCTGTGAAGCAGGTGGAGAAGGAAAAGGAAGGAAACAGATAAGCATGAAGAGAGGTCACGGCGCAAGGTGCTGGAGTTCAGACGAAATAATATTCTTCACAAATGCTGCGAGAACTGCCCTTGGGCCACACCAAGAAATGTCAAGACCGGCACACAGGGGACCCGTTGAAACACCAGCAGGGCGGATGTGCTACTAAGCACCTGGTCAGAGGTCAGTGTGAAGATACACTGACCTCTGGGGACTTGTTTAATGCTCACAGTCTTGCAGTAGCAGCAGCAGCAGCAGCAGTGCGCTCTGGAGTAAGCAGGTTTATTTGGGCACACATAGGGTGAAAGGGTCCTGAACAGCAGGAAACGTGTGTGTGTGTGTGTGTGTGTGTGTGTGTGTGTGTGTGTGTGTGTGTAGGTGGGGGGATGTCTCAAGAACAAAACATGCAGGAGCAGGGCTGGAGTGTGGCTCCCTATGCCAGCCTTCAGATGCCGAGGCAGGGCCTGAAGTCCCGGTGGGGGAAGGTGGGCTGGGGGGCAGCAGGCACACCACGGTTCTGTAAACAATGCAGGGGAGGAGGAGCTCTGGAGGGGGCTGGGCCAGGCCCCCCCATACGAGCCAGGCTGTGCTTTGGAGAGGCCACGCCAAAGACGGAACCTGGAGCGGCAGGAGGCCATGGAGAGGCCCAGCCAGGCCGCGCTCCTCGATGACCGACTCTTCACCGGTTAGTCCGTCAGCAGTGTGGCAGGAGAAACCAACCGAGGGCCTGGCAATGCGACCTATTCCTACACGGCTGTTTGGTAATAAAAGGAATGGCGTTCTGGTGCGCCTTGCAATGTGGATCCCCTGAAAACGTGCTCAATGAAAGAAAACCAGTCACAGGACGCCAAGAACTGTATGATTCTTGTTTTGTTTTCTGGGTCACACTTGATGATGCTCAGAGATTATGCCTGCATCTACACTCAGGAATTACTCCTGGCAGTGCTTGGGGGACCGTATGGGATGCCGGGGATTGCAACTGGGCCAGCTGCACGCAAGGCAAGCGCCCTACCCGCTGTGCTATCACTCTGCTACATACATGCACGATTCTAATCGCAGGAAAGTTCAAAGCAGCAAGTCTATAGAGAAATCCGATGATCAATGACCTGACACTGGGACAGAGACCAATGGGGGGAGGGATTGTGAAGTGTTTGGTGTTTCTTTTTTTTTTTTTTAATTGGGGTGGTGAAAATGTTCTCAAATTAGATTATGGTTAGTTGCACAATCCAGTAAACACACCCTAAACTACTGTACTGCGAAATTTAAGTTAGTGAATGGCAGGTTTGCTCTTCCAGCCCCCTGTGCTCTCTTGGAAACGCATCACACTTGCTTGTCTTGGTGTTTCTTTGCTCGCCTGCCTCCACTCTGGAGAAGCCCGTGTTCTCTCTCGTATGTGTACTTCTCCCTTTCTCTCCTCCTGCATCTTTCGAACCATGTTTCAGTAGAAATTTCTTTGTTTCACCCTCCCCTCCGACAAACACACACAATTAGTGAATTGTACAGTAAATTGAGACTACTGAAAAATGGTTCATCTCACTAGGAGAAATTCATAGTGCTGGGATGCGGGGGATATAATTTTGGGGTTTTTTCACCTATGAGATCAGCAAAAAAACTGTCTCCAGGGTTTCATAAAGAGTAAAGGGAACTTGCATGTCCTGCCGGCAGCCCTGTGAGCTGACAAGCACCATGTGAACTAACTTGGTCGCTTTTTTTTTTTTTTGCTTTTTGGGTCACAACCGGCAATGCACAGGGGTTACTCCTGGCTTATGCACTCAGGAATTGCTCCTGGCGGTGCTCCAGGAACCATATGGAATGCTGGGAATCTTACCCGGGTCAGCTGCATGCAAGACAAAACGCCCTACCCGCTGTGCTATCGCTCCAGCCCCTAACTTGGTCGCTTTTGCAAATATGAACACGCGCAGTGGCCATGACCCACTGTGTCACAAAGCAGGCCTTACCCACCTTTGGCCCGCAGGCATGGGACAATGCGGGTGAGTAGGAGCTCTGGGTGCAAGATGGGGTGCTTGTTTAAAGGACAGAGAGGTCCAGGTGGGGGTCACTGAGTCACTCTTTTCTGAAAATGTACAGAAAGTCAAAGAAGTCTGGGCACCCCTGGAAACTGCCTTTATGTTCACTAGGAGACACGCCAAAGAATGCTACCAGGAGTACAGAAAACACCCCAACCCAGGTGACCATCTACCAAGAGGGAGGTACTAAACTGTGACACATTTACACATTTACACAGTGGGACATTAGGTATCTATGAAAAAAAAAAAAGGAATCGATATTCAAACAAAGTTGGACTGAAAACGCCTCATAGTTTACCCCATCGGATGTCACTTTTTGAGCTGAAAAAGCATGCTTCACTTCACAATGCGTATGTGCTAATTACTGAAACACAAAAGCCACAGGTAATAATCATGACATTCAGGAAAACAATCACTTCCAGTGCAGATAGGCAATGACAGAAGGGGGACTCAGAGGTATCAGCAATATCTGTGCTACTAAATAAGGTTCATGGGTATTTTTCTCTCTTTTTTGTTCTGCTTTTGGGCCGCACCGAGCAGTGCTCAGGGCTTACTCCTCACTGTGCTCAGTGACCACTCTTGGTGGGGCTCAGGAGACCATGTCTGGTGCTGAAGATGGAACCGGGCTCAGCCGCGTGGAAAGCAAGTGCCCTGCCCGCTGTTCTCTCTGCACATGGGTATTTTCTTATGTTAACATATGTGATTTGCAGCTGTTCTCTTACATAAGTCATACACTACAATAAACGGTAACAGGTCCAGATAAATCACTAAGAACCTCCTATAATTTTGTCACTAAGAGACGCTTCATTAACTGACTCAACAATTTAGATCTGATCCCTCCATACTTCCCTCTACTTAAATAGATTCATGTGCATTTTTGAATTTTGCTTTGGGTTTTAGGTCACATCTGGTGGTGCTCAGGGAACCACATGCAGTGCGGGGATTTGAACCTAGTCACATGCTAGACAACTGCTTTAACCTTTGTACTCTATCCTGGTCCTCACAGTTTTGTTATTTTTTTTTTTTGGTGGGGGGGTGTGTCACACCTGGCAATGCACAGGGGTTACTCCTGGCTCTGCACTCAGGAATTACTCTTTTTTTTTTTTTTTTACTGTTTGGTAATAAAAGGAATGGCGTTCTGGTACGCACTGTTGCTAGGGGGACCACACGGGATGCTGGGAATCGAACCCAGGTAGGCCGCGTGCAAGGCAAACACCCTACCTGCTATGCTATCTCTCCAGCCCCAGGTCCACACTGTTTTTACTGGGGAAGGGATGGTGTTACAAAACCCCTATAATATGGGCAGGTATCTTTTCAAGTTAGTGGATACAGATCTGTATCTTTAAGCGATGCTCAAAAGTCTATTGTTTTAATTGCCTAACAATTCAATAAATTTTGTTTTGGATACATTTTCAATTTTCTCTTAATTCTATGGATATTTTCTGCATGTAACTAACTCTATGCAGTAACAGGCACACAGTAGGTTCTCAAATATTCCTTGAATTAATTTATTTCCATCTAACAAATTCCCAGATGGTGCTACTTAACATACGCATGAATTGCTATAACTTCTGAAATTAGGCTCCGGGGAGATCCTTCCCCTAATAGAGTAATTAGCATCACCTGAGTAGCTTCCATTTTCTCAGACTTTTACAAATACTGGATATTAATCTTACCCAGTTCTGCAGGCAATACAGACCTCCTTCAGCTAAGCATTTCTTCGATCAGCACTGAAACAGTCTACTGCATTTACTCTGGGGAACGCCTAATTCTCCTATGAGTTGATGAGTAATTCTTAGGTGGGTGAAGGGGGCCTGGGGGCCACACCTGGCAGTGCTTGGGGGCTACTCCTGGCTTTGTGCTCAGGAGTGACCACCAAGCAGTGCCAGGGATCAAACCAAGGTTGCCACATAAAAGGCAAATACCTTAACCCTCACACTATCTCTCTGAGGGAAATATTTTGCCCATTTTTCTCCTGGGATTTTAATCTGTGTGTGGTTTGTGTGTGTGTGGGGGGGGGGGAGCAGGGAAGCTGTTTGGGGGGAGGTATGCTGGGTAGAACTGAGTAATATGCTCAGGGGCTCCCGCAATGCAAAGCATGTGATCTAGCCAGTGGAGATATCCCCTGGCCTCAATAATCTTTGCTTTCCAATCCCACACCTAGTACAACTAACTACCTCTTTCCATAATGCTGCAAACATTTTTCCAATTTGTCACCAATCCTTAACTTTGTTTATAATAAGAGTTCCGTGTGGGAGAAGGAAGAATACAGAAATCTAACATTTACTTGTAGTACAATCGGTGCTTTCTTTTAGAAAATTCCTTTCCCCCGCAAGAGAAAAATTCTATTCCCTGCTCCCCAAATTTAATACTCTTTCTTAGGATTTAAAATCTTTAGTCTTTATACAATCTGGAAATTTATTTTAGCATCTTGGTTCAAGCTTGTCTGAGAATTTCATACTCACCAAAACGGGCAATAGAGACATGCCATCCATCTGTGTCTTATTCGGATTAAAGCCAGCGATGTCCAGAATGGTAGGGCCCAAGTCAATGTTGGCAACAAGCATCTAAAACAATACGAAAAAAATCTAGAACACAATTGGTCTGAATTTCTGTTCTATGTGCACTGAGCTCTCTCCCTCTACTGCCCTTATGAGACAAAGAATACTTATTATCTGTTTCACTCACACGTACGTTGTACTGCTTTACACACTCAAATACAACTCTAGACACATTAAAGCACAGGGATTTATAAAGGTTGGACTGTGTGACCCTGAGAAGTTACATACTTATTATGCTCATGCTGGTATTGACCAAGTTTTTAAAACTCCTTTGGGATGGCCTTGAGTCAGTTACGAGAAAATATGAGAGAAATGTCAAACAAATTATTTCATAGAGTGATTTCCCAACTGATGATGCAAGTTCATTAGATTAGGATTGACTTTTTTTTTTTTGGCTTTTTAGGGTCACACCCAGCAATGCTCAGAGTTTACTCCTGGCTTTGCACTCAGGAATCATTCCTGGCAGTGCTGGGGGACCATATGGGATGCCGGGGATCGAACCCAGGTCGGCCGCATGCAAGGCAAACGCCATACCCGCTGTACTATCGCTCCGGTCCCACAGATTAGGTTTGACTTTAAATGGACGGGAGAGACCCTTGAACACTTTGAAGGTGGAATGCTGACCACCAGCGGGAACATGAGTCCTTTAAAAAGTTTCTCAGCGTGACAACATGGCCACAAAACGTGATGGGCTTTGAAGGCTGCAGAAAACCATTTCCAGCACGGCAGCCATGAAAGTCTCCTCAAAGCCCAGCGGAGCCCGGGGCTCTGCTGACAGCACCTGTCCCTGCGCCTTGTGCCTGAGTGACCCCAGAGCAGCTCGCAGAGGTGCCTGTAAACAAGTGATCCAGGGTGTCCCCCCCACTTCCCCCCCCCAGCCCACAGGCACCACGCCCTCCCGTGCCTCCAGGCACTGTGACAAGAGTGATGGAAGGAAAGTTAAAAGTTAATTAAAAGATTTTAAGTTAGGGGCTGGAGCGATAGCACAGCGGGTAGGGCGTTTGCCTTGCACGCAGCCAACGTGGCCGACACAGGTTCGATTCCCAGCATCCCATATGGTCCCCCGAACACTGCCAGGAGCAATTCTTGAGTGCATGAGCCAGGAGTAACCCCTGAGCATCACCGGGTTTTGACCCAAAAAAACAAAAACAAAAACAAAAAAATTTAAGTTAAAACACACACACACACACACACACACACACACACACACACACACACACATTCTTTAAAACAACAACAACAAAAACCAACACAAAACAGGACTGGAAAGAGAGTAGTACAGGGATTAAATGCTTCCCTTTTTGGTGATCAGCCCCAGATCGATCCCTGGCACTCATTACCTGGTTTCTGGAGCACTACCAGGAGTGACTCCTGAGCACTGAGCCAGGAGCACCCAGGGTGTCATAGGGTGTGACCCAAAACAACACTCTCCTCCTCCCCCACCCCACCCCTACCCTATCTCATCCCCAGCTTTCATTCACCTCATTAACCTGGAGAATCTGCACTTACTAGTGTCCCCATTTCCATGGGAAACCCGAATCTCTTGCAGGAAGCTGGTCTTCCAAACTCCCACTTCCGTTCCCTCTGCCCTGGGTCAAGGGGGTCATGTCCACGAATCAAGTTCTCCCGCTCTGCCTTTCCTTCCCCAGCCCCCTGGCAGGCTCTGCCGGTAAATCCAGTGGTATGCTCATTTCTAGCCAGAGACGACGACCCCAACAGTCAGTGTTAGCTGGCCCTGCTCTTCGGGACAACACCCCCACCACGCCACTGGCCAGGCATGCCTGCATGGCCACCCGCTCTTGCTCGGCTCAACTCCTCACACCCAACTTCCAACCCTGCGCCACTTGCTCTCCGAAGAACCGACACATGGTTAATCCCTGCTGGCTTGCCATCTCCGCACCTGCCGCGAGTCGGGGCATTTTATACCCAGATGACAGCGACTGGCACACCAGGGCAAGACGCACAGTGGCTTCTGAGACTGGACACCGTTAAGCCACAGTCCTGGTCATGTCACTTACGCTATGATGTCAGCACCTACTCCCTGTTGGGACAGGCTCCAGAGGGAGCCCCCCAACCCAGCCCCAGAGGACAGTTCACTTAGCCAGCGAGGGGGCACGGCAGACAGGAAGTGCAGCTGGGCAGACTCGGCGAGAAGAGGATGCTTACTCAGCACCTGATGGCGGTCAAGACCACAGACACTTCCCTCCCGGGAAGACAAGGTCAGCCTCAGATCCGGGCCTGTGTTTACCTCTTGGCTCAGATTTCTGCAGCACTAGACCTCCTCGATGCCCAGGTGTCTGCTCAAATACCTCAAGACACTCAACGACAACTGTAGCCCAACACAGGGAGGGAGAAGGGGTCTTCCCTGGCGGCTCACTCTTGGGTCCAAGGGAGGGGTGCTGACCTAGCACAAGAGGATACTTAAGTACTTCTTGTCAGGGCTGGAGCGATAGGCCCGCGGACAGGGCGTTTGCCCTGCAAGGGGCTAACTCAGTTTTGATCCCCAGCACCTGAGAGCCCTTTAGGAGTGATCCCCGAGCGTAGGGCCAGGAGAAGCCCTGAGCACAGCTGCTTACTGTGACCTACCCCCCCCCCATACCTTCCCCCCCACCCCCCAGCTACTGAATAACCGTCCCATGGATCAAGTGTAAAGACACTGGAGTCAGATCATCGCAGTTCACATGCAGGAATTTGATATTTTAAATGTTTTCTGGGGTTTTTTTGGACCAAAGTCAGTGGGGCTCGGAAGTCACTCAGAGCAGGCTTAGGAGGCCACCTGTGGTGCTGGGGACCTGCCAGCTCAGAGCCGGGAACTGAGCCCAGGTCAGCCACATGCAAGGCAGACGCCTTCTCCGGCACTGTCTTCGTCCAGGAAACCAAACTTTCCTTTTCTTCTTTTCTCTTTTCCTTTGGTTTTGGGCCACACCTAGTTATGCTCAGGGCTTACTTGTGGCTCTGCGCTTGGATATTACTCCTGGAGGGCTCAGAGGACCATACTGGGTGTCAGGGATTGAACCCGGGCAGGGCAAGCACGTACACCCTCTACTCCTTCTCTGGCCTCAGGAAATGAGTCATAAAAAAAACAAAACTTGAGAGCCACTTTATCCTTCCAAGAAACCAGCAAATAATCTCATCAAAGATACTGTGAAAGTGAATGGTAGATAGATATTCTAAACATATATAATAGGCAAAAATCAAACAGAAGTACCCAATATATTCAGAAAGTCTGGTCTGTTTTCGAACTCTGGCTTAAATGACAGATTTGTTCTTTCTGTTTGGTTTTGGGCCACACACCTGGCAATGCTTATGACTTGGCTCTATGCTCAGGAATCACTCCCAGCAGTGCTCAGGGGTGCCAGGGCTCGAACCAGGATAAGCCGTGTGCAAGGCAAGTGCCCTGCCCACTGTAGATTTCTCCCTTCCCTGATTTACTCGTTTGTTCCACAAATCCGGGGCAGAAACTATGCTATCACAAAAGAGAAGACCCCCCCCCCCCCCGGGCAGTGTCTGCTCTGCTGTTTGGGAGCACTCCCTGTGGCGCTCAGGAGACTCTGAGGTGCCAGCGACTAAACTCGGCTCCCGGTCTCTGGAGCCATCTCCCCAGCCCGCTCCCAGTCCTCTCTCTGAGCTCAGAGCTCTGTGTCTGGGACCAGGTACCCACAATACCTCGCGAAACAAATCATCCCGTATTAGGCACCAAGTTTCCGGGCAAACCCACTGAAGCCAAAGGGAGACAGCAACACACTTCTCGGAACGGCTCGGAGAGGAGCACTGAGCATCGCGCAGTGAGTGGCTCACTCCTCCTGCCAAGGGGCAGCATCTGGCATCCGGGACTGATCAGAAACACAGGGGCGACCCGCACTCTCATAACTCCCAAGGGAACCTGCGCATACAGTGGGACCCAAGGGGCTGTGCTACCCGGCAGGTGCCCCAGAGCAGTGTCCTCTCAGGAGCACTGGACACTGCAGGGAAGGAGGGCGCAGCTTCCCACTCCAGCGAGAGAGCTCTTCCACACCGTGGGGCGCTGCCGAGCACGTGCTAGGCCTCTCCATCCCAGAGGCAGAAGTGACTCCCTGGAGGAGCGTCCCAGCTTCAAGCAAAGTCAAGGTCTTCTATGTTTTGCTTTGTTATTTTTGGGGACCACACTCAGCTATGCTCAGGGCTTCCTACTGGCCCTTAACTCAGGGGTCACTTCTGGCGGGCTTGGGGGGACCCTATGTGGTGTGGAGGAACAAACCCAGGTTAGTCATATACAAGGCGAGCACCTTCCCCCCTCGGTACTATCTCTCCGGCTCAAGATCTAGTCTCAAAAGCCAAGTAAAAACTATTCACACCAGGGGCTGGAGCGATAGCACAGCAGGTAGGGCATTTGCCTTGCACGCAGCCGACCTGGGTTCGATTCCCAGCATCCCATATTGTCCCCCAAGTACCACCAGGAGTAATTCCTGAGCACATGAGCCAGGAGTAACCCCTGAGCATCGCCGGGTGGGACCCAAAAGGAAAAAAAAAAAAAAAAAAAAAGTATCCATGCCAATGGATGGGAATGTAAGAGAGTTAATGGGCCTGACTTGGGGTTTTAAAAAAAAAACAAAAAAGCCAAAGGACGGGGTCACAGCTCAAGCAGCACAACGCCGAGCATGTGAAAGGCCCGGCCTCACTTTCCCCACCACCTGCTGCTGCTGAGCTGAAACCCTGAGCAGAAAACCATGGAGGGCAGAGCAACAGCTAACAGGCCAGTGTGCCTGCTCTGTTTGTGGGCTCCATCCTTGGCACCACATCGCCCCTGAGCACCGCCAGGAGCTATTCCCAAAAACCATGCTACTTTTATAGCCCTTGAGCACTCCTGGATGTGAACCCAAACAGAGGAAAACAAAATTCATGTTTCAAGCGTTTTGTCTCATTTTTCAGATCTTAATTAAGCTGCCAGCAGCCTCCCACCCTCACCTCAGGAGGATGAGGTGCCATCTGCTCGTAGCATCGTGGGCACACACCTACCTTGCTTGTCTGATTGGGTTTAATTCCCGGCCCTCGAACCAACAGTGGAACTTTGATGTCAAATTCATACAGCTGTCTTTTGTCTATTGGCAAAGAAAACTGTCCTGGAAACAAAACATACAGGGTAAAGATAGCACCAAGAGAAGAAGAGTCACTCATGCATACATGCAACCAATAGCAAAGCCAAAACCAACTTGTTCTATTATTTAACAGAAAGCTGCAACAATGAGTTCATTTTCCTTAAATAAATGCCTGGGGTAACTACCTGGTTTAAGACGGACCGGACCAAGTTCAGCAGAGAATGATTAGAATCACAAAATATAAAATTAAAGGTGTAACACTCAGGACCAGAGTTAAGAGTACAGTGGGTAGGGCATTTGCCTTGTATGTTGCTGACCTGGGTTCTGGCTGACCCGGGTTTGACTCCTGGCATGCTATAAGATCCCCTGAGCACCGCCAGGAGTAATCCCTGAATGCAAGCCACGAGTAACCACTGAGCACTGTAGGGTATGGCCCCAAAACAAAACCACAAAAAAAAAAAAAACCAAATGGATGACCCAATCACAGGATCAAGTGCAAAAACCCAGACAAACAAATGCATGACCTGATCACAATGGAATGAGGCTAGTCTACATCTGCAACTAATGGGGGGGAAACATTGATCCCTGTTCTTTCTAAATAAAGCTCATTTCAAAATACTCAGTTGATGAGAAATTCTTCCAGGGAAATTCCAGTGAATAAATGCCAAAGGAAGAACAGAGTTAATGAAATCGACATCCTCTGATTCCTGAGGAAGAATGAAGTAAAGCAACAGTAATCAGTGGCCACCACTGCCACAGAGAGGACCCCAGAAAGGGCGCAGGCTCCACGCGGCAGGACGAGCATCCCCGGTGAGCCGCACGCAGGCCCAGGAGCAGGAGGTCTCCGCAGCAGCCCCAGGAGCCTTGTTGCGAAAAGTGGGAATTCTACCCGGACTCTAGGCTTAACTATCGATCTGCAGGAAATGCTGAGTGCAAAAAAGCAAATTAAGGCATTGTAAGGCAGCAATTAGTCAAATCCAGAATCTGACACATGTTAAAGGAGAAAAGACTATTTTCCCCTTAATAAATCAGTGAAAAATGCCCTTAGAAGAGACAAAAAATACGTAAGTTGGGGCCGGAGCGACAGTACATCAGGCAGGGCGTTTGCCTTGCATGCAGCAACTCAGGATTGATCCCCAGGACCCCATATGGTCCCCTGAGCACCGCCAGGAATAATTCCTAAGTGCAGAGTCAAGAGTAAAGCCATAAAACACAAAACAAAAACACCCCACCAACAAAGGGTGTTGTGTGAATTTTGTGTGGGTCCGGATACATAAAACCTCTCATCAGATGCATCATTAAGTACTGATGTGCAGGAAATCAAAGGGTGTCTCTGAAAACTGGGCCAAAAAAGAAAAACAGGAGGAAGGGAAATATCAACATGCTGAGAAATCAAAGCTGGACAATAAGGGTTACATTTTTAGTTTCTACTTGGAACGTTTAAAAATACTCACAACAGTGCATTAATACCCAACCTGTTTCTATACAAACAGGACTCAGGTATTTGCATTCAAGAGGAGACTCACAGATGGGGAAGAATAAACACTCTTGTTAGCTACAGAAGGAAACAAGGAAAAAGGACCAGCGTGGAGGAGACAGAGTAGTCACATAGCGCAGATTTAAAAATACAAAGCCAGGCTAAAGAGACAGTGTAAAGGCCGCAGCAGACATATCCCCCTGCCTCGCCCTGCTGTCCACGCCCCACGCCCACCCCGGGGTCCCTGGCACTGGAGGCCCTGCTCCCACAAACAGCAAAACTACAAACTCAAAGCTAAAGCTCACAACTTAGCAAGAAGCTGTTTCTCCCCATGATGCCTTTCCGTGGTCTTCCCTGTGTAAACTGTCTTGCCCATTAATTGCCCATCCGAGTACTAAGCAGGCCCTAGCCCGGAGAGCTTCGGAGGGGAGATGGGATGGGTGCTTTCAAGATGGGATGGGCTGGCCGGGGATTCGTCCCTAATTCCCTGAGGCCCACTTGGCCTTACAATGTGGGTCGCTTCCTTGCATTTTCGTAACCCCCACCTCTCACCCATCATGTTACTGTCCGTTCCTGAACCCCAGTAACTGAGCATACAGAACGGCAAACAGTGGTGGGAGGCAGCGGGCACTCTGCCCAGCGGGATCCAGGGCACATCACCCACGCTGGCCCACCCGGCTCTGCTCCTGGGCCCGGAGTGCTGCTGACGGGGTGAGAGGGGAGTGCCGTGCCTCTCCACCTCCACCTTACCTGTGTGAAAGCCGTTGTCTGAGGTGTAGAAGATGTAAGTGTTGTTGAGCTCCCCGTTGAACTCCAGTCTCTTGATCAGTTTCTCCACGAGGTCATCAACCGAGAGAAGAGTCTGCCACCTGGATGCAGACAGAGGGGACCCATTGAACTTGATGGCTCAAGTGCTATCTCGGCCTGTTCTCCTCCCCACCAGAAACACCCCAAAATACAAAACCCTCACACACAGACAAACCCCCCCTGGGGGGCAGGAGGGACGGTGCTGGAGCTCATCCAGCATGCGGACGCCCAGGTTCCATCCACAGCATGCGGCGATGGAGCAGGGGCTGAGCAGGGAGCAGCCACCCAGCACCGTCAGGCGTGGCGCCCAACTCAGAACCACTCCCCCCTAAAAGCCCAAGCACCAAACTGCCTTCCCCGGTCTCTCACTGGAAAAAGGAAAATTTGTTCCAAATTTAACCATATCCACAAAAATCAACGATGCCTTTTTTGGGGGGGGTGGGCCTCCAGGGCTGTGCTGGTGACCCCTGGGGCTATACCTGGTGGCGCTCGGGAGGACAAAGGGTTCTGGAGATTGAGCCCAGGATGCCTGAGTGTGCCAGGCATGAGTTCCAGCCCTTGATCTATCGCCCTGGCCCTAATCAAAGCTTTTTATCGCCAGCTTTTTTTTTTTTGATCATCACTGGTAATGAGAGTAGAGATAATGAAAAGAACACCTGTCAACTGTGCACTGTTCATACAGATGAATTCAAGTAACAGTGCTTAAAGGTCTCAAGTAAGGGCTGGCAAACGAGAGCTCAATGATGTGGCTATTGCTTTAAAACTGGGGTAAAAAAAAAAAGGGGGGGGCCTGACATAAAATTCACCCTCTTAATTTTTTTTTTCTTTTTGGTCATACCCGGTGATGCTCAGGGGTTATTCCTGGCTTTGCACTCAGGAACTACTCTTGGCGGTGCTCAGGGGACCATACGGGATGCTGAGAATCAAACCCAGGTTGGTCACATGCAAGGCAAACGCCCTACCTGCTGTGCTATCACTCCAGCCACCCTCTTAACAATTTTTAAGTGTGCAGATCAACCACATTAAGTAAATTCACACAGTGAAACAACTCTCTGGAACACTTTCATCTTTCCTATCTGCAAAGGTATGCCCATTAGATAACAATTCCCTGGCTAGTTCTAGGAGGCTTTGCTGGGACAGTCGCCCTGGTTTGCCTCTGTACTGTCTGTGGCTCTATCGCGCTCTGTGGCAGCGTCCAGCAGCTGTGACACAGACACGGCCTGAGGCTCACAGGAACTACCAGCTGCCCCTCCACAGAAGGCATGCCACCACTCGCCTAACCCAAACGCATGAGAGACATGAATGGAGTTTTAAAAAATTGACTTTAAAAGAACATACGGAAAATTCCAAACAGCAAAAGCAAAATTTTGGTAAATATTAGCACAAGCAAATATTGGTGCACACTGCTGGGTCTTATGCAAACACTGGGCTGATCTGTGAGCAAATTTTTCTTTAGGAGCTTTTATTATTTTTTTTCTGCTTTTTGGGTCACACTTGGCGATGCACTGGGGTCACTCCTGGCTCTGCACTCAGGAATTACTCCTGGCGGTGCTCGGGGGACCATATGGGATGCCGGGGATGAAACCCAGATCGGCCTCATGCAAGGCAAACGCCCTACCCGCTGTGCTATCACTCTGGCCCCTGAGTGAATTTTTCTTTAGAAGCTCTTTAAACTCACACTTCCGTTTGCAATTAGCTCCAATAAGTAATAAAAAGGGCTGTGCCAGGTCCAACGACAACTGCATCTGCCTGCAGAGGCAGCTGGTTTCTGTGTCAAGGTCTCGCCCACCAACTTGCTGTCCTGCCTCTGATTCCATCTCAGAGTCAATACCCACGTGCTCAGCCCCCACTCACAGGCGCACTCAAAGATCTCTCAAGCTGAGAAAGGCACAGTGCTCACCTTTTCCTAAACGCATTATCTAAAAACTGGATTGAGGAATTCGTCATTGGGGTCTTGGCTTGCCTAATTAACCAGTGCTTGTTCTGAAATTTAAAGGGGAAAAAAGTCATTATCGAGTCAAACAACCAAAGTACATAATGAAAGGTTCATTACAACAACAACAAAAGGAAGCAACTAACTTCAACTTGTTTTTGTCTGTAGACTCTCACTGGTTTTTTGGGTACTGGGAGGACCACAATGTGTCAGGGTTCTAACCTGGGACTTTCAGCCTGCAGAGAACGTGTGCTCCAGCCCGCCACGCCATCTCCCCGACCCTCTACCTCAAACATGTTAAAGCTAAGGCTTCCTCCTCCCCTTGTTTCCTCTTGACTCATGTTTATAAAAGATTTTCTTACATCAACACTCATTTGTTGATTTTTACTGCTGATTCTTTTCTCTTTTTTTTTGCTTTTTATGTCAAACCTGGCAGTGCTCAGGGGTTACTTCCAATAGTCACTGGGCACAACTCAGCGCCGGGGATGGAATCTGGACCCCACACAGGCAGAGCTCATGCTTCGACTCATGAAGCCATCCCCCCTCCCGCTGGCTGGGCCACCCTTCCGAAGGGGGAAGCCCTGGAATCCTGTGTTAACAGGACAGTAATGCTTATTAGCAAAAAATGGAATCAGTTAAAATGAGATACACTCCCTGGACTTTCCTATCCGTGATAACGATCACCCCAAGTCAAGTCAGGGGGAAATCTCTTCACAGCAACTTCTTAAAACTATGTCTAAATCTGGAGGCTTCGCTCCTCCCCACCTTATTTAAATAAAATCACATGTTTCAAAATAAAAACATTCCAGAATTAACACAGTCATTAATTCTGTGCCCCCTACTCCTAACACCCTAAGTGGAGACTTTCCAAACTGCACTCACGTGGAGAATGTTACACAGCACACCCTCTATTGGAAATCCACCCCGGGCCATATAGAACTGAATGTGAAAGCCCCCACAGGGAGACTGCTCTAATCTAAAGTTTCTAACTCACCTGGTCAGGGGAAGCCTATTCGCCTCTTTTTGCCACAGTCTGAGAATGGTCCTCTAGTTTGAAACCCAGTTCCCTCGGCTTTACTTACCTTTTAACCCAACTTTACAATGACACTCAACAAACACATCTCCATGTATGTGTCAGACAGCCTGCCGGAAGTTCCTAACTACTTTAATCCACACAGCAGTCACATGAGGGAGCAAGAGCCCCCACTTCACAGAACTAAGCCAGGCCTCGTTCTCAGGGTTCAGTCACTCACCCAGGAGGCAGCAGTGCTGAGCCTGAGACTGAATCACAAGCAACAGAGATAGATTCCCAGGTGAAGGGCCGGAGACAGTCACTGGCTTCTGCCTTTGAGTAAGTAAACAGCCCTGATCCCCCGGGCCTGGGAGGCACATATTTAAATGACAGCCCTTAATTATATGCCCCCATTGGCTCATTTCTTCACTCAACTCTCCTTCCTAAGCACCGTGAGCCGAGCCATCCCTCTGCTTTCCATGCTCCGGGCCTGGTAAGAGCAAGGAGGTGCTGAGGCCCAAGTCAGCTCTGAGAGACATCTGCACCAGCAGGAAGGAGCACACACTGTTAGCAGGAGAGCCTGCAGTCAGGAAGACTTTCTGTAACATTCTCTGTACACACCCTAGCTGCTCACTGGATCTGCGGTGGGAACTTGGTCTTGGCTACTGAAGCAGGTTGATACTATATTGGAGGAGACCGGGGGGGGGGGGGGGGGGGGGGGACCACACACGACACTGACTCTAAGAGATCCCAGCGACACGGCTCTGACGTGTCCATCCCAGGTCTATCAGGGTCAGTCGTACCGAGCGTGGCTTAACTCAAGAGTCAGGGGAAGCTACCGTTCCATGGATGTTGAAGTTCTTGCTTCGTGGTGCAGAGACGTTCTGGAAAGCCTTCTGGTACTGGGGGGCGGCAGTCCAGGGGGAGTGGGGTGCAGGAGTGGAGATCATCATGAAGAAGGGCTCGGAGTTGGCCTTGTAGTCCAGGAAGTCCAGGGAGACGTTAGCCTGACACACACAAAGATTTGTCATCCCAGACCCTACACAGCAGCTGAAGACAGGACAGATACAAGTCTCCTGGCGAACAGGGGTATGGGGTACCAACAGCTTCCAACCCACCTCAGCACACAATTTATGTCATGTTGTTGGAAAACATTTGGCTTTTTTTTTTTTTCTTGGGTGGGGGGGAGTTCACACCAGCAGTGCTTAAGTCTTACTCCTGCTCTGTGCTCAGGGACCACTCCTGGCAGGCTGGGGGAACCATATGCAGTGCTGGGTTTAAACCTGGGCCAGCTGCATTAAAGGCTAGTGTCTTACTGCCGTAGTACTGCTCCAGCCCAAATAATTGGCTTTCAATCAGTACTCAGAATGTGAAAAGCAAACCATCCTAAGACAGTAATGAAGACCTTGATTTTACATGAACCAGAACTATAAACTACCCCTAAGAAAAAAATAGTACGATGGCCATTTTAGTATTGACTTACATAAACTCTGCTTTGAATATATACATTTAAAGCTTTATAGTGAAAGGCTTCAAGTAAAAAGAGTGCCAATTTAATTTTCAACAATGGTAAAGGCGGCTTAAGTTATCTTAACTTTACAAAAAGTATACAGAGAGTTATGGCACCTGAAGTAGCTAAACTAAATATTAAGTCAAAATACAACACACCATAGCTCTAAATGATATGGACTCAATTTGTTTGTTTTTGGTCACACCTGGTGGTGCTCAGGGGTTACTCCTGGCTCTGCACTCAGGAATTACTCTTGGCGGTGCTCAGGGGACTCTATGGGATGGTGGGAATCGAACCCCGGTCAGCCGCATGAAGGAAGATGCCCTACCCGCTGTACTATTGCTCCGACCCTGGACTGAATTTTTCACTTGCTTATCTGAGGTCAACAAAAACTCCCCTCTTAGAGGTTTTTCTTTCCCCTTTTTAAAAAAGGTTAGAGCAATATCACAGTGGGTAGGGCATTTGCCTTGCATGAGGCTGACCCGGGTTCGATTTCTCCGTCCCTCTCGGCGATCCTGGTAAGCTACCCAGAATATCCCACCTGCACGGCAGAGTCTGGCAAGCTCCCCGTGGGGGTATTTCATATGCCAAAAACAGTAACAACAAGTCTCACAATTTGTTGTGAGATGTTACTGGTGCCCGCTCGAGCAAATCGATAAACAATTTTAGGTCACACCTGGTGGTGCTCCTGTATCTGCACTCAGGAATTACTCCTGGTGGGACTCAGGGGACCATATGGGACGCTGAGGACTGCACCTGAGTAGGCCACAAGCAAGGCAAGAGCCCTTCCCGCTGTACTATCTCTCTGGTCCCCGCTTCTCATTGTTCTAGCTGATTCCATCTTCATACTTTCCTGAACACTGAACCCCGACATTGTGGCCGTACTGATTTCCTGCCACTGTCCTACCCACCTGACTCAGCCCGGCAGCTTCCTCAAGGTCCCTGGAACACATCAGGCACTCATGCCACAAGGCCCTCACAGGGTAGGCCCCTCTGCCTGTGGCACTCGCCCCTCTCACCAATGCAGCTTCTTCTCGTCTCCCTCAGGTTTCTGCTTCAAGATCACCCGACTCAGCCCCATCACTCTGCTACCCCAACTGATCACCACCTAATGGGACAATCAAGGACTGTGTGCAAACATGCACATATGTGTAAATACAATCTAGATTCAGGGGGGCTAGAGCGATAACACAGTGGGTGGGGCGTTTGCCCTGCATGGGGCCAACCTGGGTTCAATTCCCAGCATTCCATATGATCCCCCAAGCACTGCCAGGAGTAACTCCTGAGTGCAAAGTCAGGAGTAACACCTGTGCACCGCCAGGTGTGATCCCAAAAGCAAAAAAAAAAAAAAATATCTAGATTCAGGAACTTTGCTTCAGTGACTGCTTAATACCTGCTCTAACCTGTACTGAATTACTTGATAAGTGACTGCTCCCTGGAGGCTGTGGCTAGAAGGCACGTTGGGTGGGAAAGGAAAATACCCAATTCACCGGATTTTAGTGGTTTTCTAAGACACAAAACGCCTGAAGAGCTGCCCACATTCCTATCCCTGACCCTCCTGATGAGTCCCTAAAGCTGTCCTCTTAAACATGACTGAAATTGGGAGGGAAGGGTAGGAGCCCCTACAAAGTAAAACCTCTTCAAAGTAATCTCTAATCTTAGAGATTAGCCTTTAGAACGGGGATTTGTTGCTGGAATTTCAAGAACATTAGATCCGACTCTGGCTTACAAACAGAAATTGCTCCTGGGAGCTTTGTAATCAGCTAGAAATGCTCTTTGGCAGCTGACCAAGCTATCACACATTCCTGTTCCCAACACGAATAAACCAGCTGGAGGCTCTTCAGGCGGGGGTCCTCACTCAAGCTGGCACCAGACCGGCAGGACAGAGCCCGCGACTTACCAGGACGTCCGTCAGGTAGTCCACACTGTAGTTCTCGCCATGCCTCCGCGCCTTCCCGTTGATAGAGAGGGTGTAATTATAGTATTTAGAATTCTTTTCCTGTTAAAGAAATGGAAGTTTGTTATGAGGTCAGCATACAAAATGAACGCTGGAATCCATGCTGGGCTCAACTATTCTGTTTAAATCAAGATAAAGACTTTCAAAGAAAGGGAATCACTGAAGTCAATACTGCACTGAATTTTTGACCCTGGTTTCATTAGTTACCAGCATAGTTTCCATAATATGTCCTACTTTTAATTTATTCAAAAATTATTTTTTGGTTTATGGTCACACCCAGCAATGCTCAGGGGCTTCTACGGGCTCTACTGAGGAATCACTCCTGGCAGTGCACAGAGGACCATAAAAAAAAAGCAGGGATGAAGCCCGGGGTTGGCTGTGTGCAAGGCAAGAACCCTGACCTCTGTACTATCTCTCCAGCCCCTTAAGTCCTACTTTTAAAAGCCAGAAGTACATTGTGAAAAGCAGGAAAGAGAGCCCAGAAGGAAGTAACTCACAAATTAATGCTTTCTTTTGAAGACAGAAAACAGCTGATCATAAAAGCAAACCAGTTATGTCAGTATTAGAAGACAATTCAAGACCATATCTCGTACCTACTAGGGCAATGTGAGACTGTCACTGACTTCAATCATCACTCACCAAGGCGTACCAGTAGCTCCAGCCCAGAGGAACATGTTCTAGTCCACCTGCGTCTGGGGCTCCGTACTGAAAACCAAGACAAGCAGGGCATTAGGCTCCAGACATCACCATAAGATCAGGAACAAAAAGGAAACTTTTAAAGAAATCTACCGGTCAAACACAGGAGTTCAACTTTTTTAAATTTTTGGCATATAGACAGTGAAAAACTGTTCCTTTAAACACAACTTAAAACACTAGAAGACAATTACCCTAGGTGCTTCTCTGAAACAGGAGTAGCAAACTAGAGCTGACAGAAATATCTAGCGTTGCAACTTTGCACTAGAAAAAATTTTCCCAATCATTAAAAAAAACATAAAAAATCAATCAGAGTTCTTTTATGTCAGGCAACAGTTACACAAAATTCAAATTCCAGTGACAAAGTTTCATCAGGACATTCATGCTCACTGGTTTCTGTATGTCTATTTTTCCATATGTCTATTTTAGCTACTTTTACGCTGATGGCAGGATTGAACTGCTGCAACTGAGAGAAGGCCTGGAGAGTCTGAAATATTTACTGTCTGGTCCTATACAGGAAGTGTTCACAGACTAGAGTTCACAGATCATGGAGCATAAACTTAATGGCATAACCTTAATAGTCCAATGAAGCATGAGACAAATAACAAAATAATCAAGAGTATGAGCTACATGTGTCAAAGGTCAGTGATGCCACGGATGAAATCTACTTTTAAAGCCCAACCTGTCTGATAAAAAGACTAAGTGAGGAGTCCAGAGAAGCACCCATTTTCTGTGGATGGGGTTTAATGCCACTTACTGAATGTAGAATTTAACCCTTATGAACTAAATCTTTGTACTTTAAAGATTTCTTCTAATTTTATACACACATTAAATGATCTCTAATATGTAAAGTAATATAAGTTCTCTTTATGACCCCAGAGCATTAACCCAATGATCCCGTATTCATACTTAGATCTCATTTTTTTTTAAAGTCTTTGGGCCACACCTAGCGATGCTCAAGGGTATTCCTGGCTCTGTGCTCAAGAAGCATTACTCCTGGTAATGCTCAGAGGGATCATATTGAAAGATAGCCCCATGACAATTGGGCCCTAGCAAAGCAAGTCCCAGCCCATATCCCGCCCTGCAGCTGCGGCAGGCTGACAACACCAGGTACCCCCATCTCCTCCTTGCCCCTGGAATTCGCCAGATAAGGCCACAAGGTCGGAGAAGGCCTAATGAGGTATTTTCTTGCCCTGGAATTCACCTAATAGGGCCATAAAGCCAGAAAAGGCCTAACTGGCTGCCCGTGGGGATGGCCTGGTGACCTCTACAGAAGTGAGTGGCTGGTGCTGATGGCTTGTTGCAAAATGACTGGCTGCCTGCGTGCAGCATCTAATGTGATAATTCAAATGTATTGGGTGATTTGTGCGCGGGCTTTTCTGAAATGCACGGGAAGATGCCCTATAAAAAGCCCCCTTTGAAGAGTCTCGGGGCTCTCGGTCATGCTGTGAGCCCGAGCATGCTCGAATAAACCTCTTGCTTTTGCATGGACTTGGTCTCTCAGAGTTTTCCTTGACAGGTGAGGCTGTCCTGAGTTCGGACCCTAACAATATGAGATGCTGGGGACCAAACTCGGATGGGCCAAGTACAAGGCAAGTGCCCTACCCACTGTACTCTGTCTCCATCCATTGGTTCTCGTAATTCTTCTCTAATGGATTTCAAATCAACAAGACGGCACATTTTCCCAAACTGTGGAGGAGGAGGTGAATTTACTGAAAACTGTATCTCTAGGAACCACAGATAAAGTATCTAAGAAAATGTACACTTTCCCTGTCCTATGTGCCCATTTCACTCAACCAAAAACCCAACGACTCTGAAGCACCAATTTCCTTAAGTTTGATTCCTGACAAAAAGCTCGGGCTAGTGTGGTGGACGGGGGCCACAGCAGCTGCCCTGGTGGGCTAATGAGCATCCCGCCCGCCCTCCTGGTCCTTAAGACTGACACGCCCACTGCCCAGGCACAGGCTTCAAAAGCCCAACACTCAGGATCTGGATGCTTTCCCGCATACTCACCTGTCCACATTTTATTCCCTTTACTCAGATTAGAAAATAAGCTAAGGAGCTGGAGAGATAACACAGGGGTTAAGGCATTTGCCCTGCCCGTGGCTGACCCCGGTCTGACCTCCACACCTCAACGGTCCCCCAGCACCACCAGATATGATCCCTGAGCACAGCTGGGGGTGGTCCCCTCTGCTCCCCCCCCCCAAAAAAAATGGGCTGAGCATTTAAGTTACATTAATTCAGGAAGGGCTTTAAGTGGAAAAAATAATCTTCAGTCTCATCATGATAAAGAGGAAATGGAAACAAAAATACCATGACTGCCACATGACAAGCAATTCTGGAGGAAAAGGGAAGATGCGTGAGACAGCAGTAGTTTGAGGACAACATTTAGAGCTCCAGGGTAACTTAAAGGAAAAGTGACTGCAGGGCCCAAGAGACCGTACAATGGGGCTGAGCACAGAACTGCATGAGGAAGGCTCAGATTCTATCCCCGGCACTGCACGTGGCCCCCGGGCATGGGCAGGAGCAACTTTGAGCAACGAGCCAGAACAGTCCCTGAGCAGGGCTTAAAAACAGAACAAAATGGACAAAAGAGTAACCATAGGACCCTAATTCACGTAAACATGTTTATGTAAATTAAGCTTGCTTTTAATGGGGAGAATAGGAGAAAGCCACTTATACTGATCATTAAACCTCTTAACATGAATTCAAACTAATTTAAAAAAAAAGTTACAAGTTGACTCACATTCTGAAAACTGTTTTTTTTTTTTTAAAAAAAAAGGAAGCGACACGCATTCACCATACCTCATTTAAATATTTCCCTGCAAAAAAGGTTTGGTAGCCACACATGGATCTGAGTATTGCTGGGAAAGTGTGTGGCTCTTGGATCTTCTGCCAGGATGCGCTACTGCAGTTTCCCTCTAGCGTGTTGTTGACAACGTGATGATTATGCGGGTACTTCCCTGTCAGGATACTGGCTCGGCTGGGACAGCAGAGAGCACTTGGCACATACTATAAAGGGAACAGAAGCAAGAAGGACAAAGTTACACAAGACTGACTTCTAATTTCTGAAACAATGAAGAAGGTTACTCAAAAATCTTAAGTTTGAATGGTCAGCTGCTCAGGGAACACAAGTTTCCTTCACACACAACACACCTAAGGCCTAAGTCAGTGTGAAGACAGTAAAGCAGATAAAGTCAACCAAGAGACACATCCTTTTCCACAGGAAAACAATTATTCCAATGTCATCTGCCAAAGAGATAATAGTTACAGCAAGGGGCAGGGCACCGGGGGAGTTGGAGCTTAACCAAAGAGGAAGACTCTGATTTGACTCTAACATAAGAGAGGCGAGGAAGTTCACTGTTAGGTCAATTTGCAGTTTTATCTATTCTCTGTAACACTGAATGAGATACATTTTATTTTCTACTCTGCTTCTATTATTGTCTGCCACCAAAAGACTTACCCCATTCTACCCCAGCTGGTCTGTATTTGGACTTAATCCACATCACTGAGCCACTTTAAAGGTTAATACTAGCGCCAACAGGGAAAGAATGCGCATTAGAGCAGCCCTTTGTCAAGATCACTTTTAAATAATTAGCATTTCTCTGGTCTGTCAAATTGGATTTGGAGGGGCAGAAAGAGGGAGGGGGTAACTCTGGGTTGGAAGGGGCACTTTCAGTCCTGACAGGGAGAAGTACTGCCTGGGCATGCTGACCAACAGAACTTCAGTGTGTGCATGTGCTTTGCCCCCTTCTGCCTTGGTCACTGACGACTCGTGACATAGAACCTAACTAAGGAGGATTCAGTCATGCTACAAACACTTCCTAAATTTTACTCATTTTTGTTAACTGTTTGGCATCTGAGATTTCTTTCATTGGCAGCATTTTTTTTTCTTTTGGCTTTTTGGGTCACACCCAGCAATGGTCAGGGGTTACTCCTGGCTCTGCACTCTGGCGGTGCTCAGAGGACCATATGAGATACTGGGGATGGAACCCATCGGCCTCATGCAAGGCAAGTGTCCTACCTGCTATAATATCGCTCTGACTCCCTCCGGGCCTATTTTCTCCCCTGTGTTACATAGTTTACTGTTTCTTCATAGTGTGTGTATCACTGTATCACTGTCATCCTGTTGTTCCTCGATTACTCGAACGGGCGCCAGTAACATCTTTATTCTTCCCAGCATGAGATTTTTTTCCCCCCAGCATGAGATTCTAACAGCCTCTCCTTACTCTTCTTTCCCAACAAATGGAGGCTCTCTCAGGGTAAGGGGAATGAGACCTGTTATCACTACTGTTTTGGGCATATCGAGTATGCCACGGGGAGCTTGCCAGATCTGCCCGTGCAGGTGGGATACTCTTGGTAGCTTGCCGGGCTCACCTACTGTCTGAACACCATCAAATCACTGTATCATCCTGTTGTTCATCGATTGCCTCAAGCAGGCCCCAGTAACGTCTCCTTTGTCCTAGCCCTGAGATTTTAAAAAGTGCCACATTCGAGGCTCTTTCAGGGTCAGCAAAATGAGACCCATCATTGTTACTGGTTTTTGGCATATTGAATACGCCACAGGCATTGATAATTATGGAAAATGGGTAGGAAGTGTCTTTATGATGTGTTGTGGCCTGGAGAGTGGCGGCAGTTGGGTAGTGGAGGTCGGCTACCAGGGCTGGGTCCCTTGGGGTGTGGAGGGCTCTCACCCGCCCCACTCTGGGGCGTCCCGAGTGAAAACAGCCTGGCCCAGAGTCCGCACGGAGTCTGCTTCTCCCCCTGACTCCTTGGTAGTGGGAGACCCTTGACTCTGATCCTTTGCCTTCTCCTATCCCAGAACCTGGTGTGTGTGTGTGTGTGTGTGTGTGTGTGTGTGTGTGTGTGTGTGTGAACCCGGTGTGTGTGTGTTGTTTTTTGCTTTTTGGGTAACACCGGCAATGCTCAGGAATTACTCCTGGTGGTGCTGGGGAATCAAACCCGGGTTGGTCAGTGTGTAAGGCAAATGCCCACTGCACTACTGCTCCGGCCCCCATACTGCATTTTAGTAGCTAATAGAGCAACTTAAAAAATAAAATTGCCGTGAGTGTGTGTTCTAGTTGGACATGCTTCCCAACTTAAGCTGTTTCTATGTCAATAAAGTGCCTCTTTTCTTTTTTTTTAAAAAAAAAAGCCTTGATTATTTTATCATCCCAAACAACTTATGAATTTAATGTAATTTTTTTACTCTTATCACAACTGTTTGTTTTGCTTTGAGGCCACACCCTGGTGGTGCTCAGGGTATAAGGGTTTATTTCGTTCTGTGCTCAGGAATCACTCATGAAGGGGCTTGGGGGGACCATAAGGGTTACAAAATATCAATGCAAGGCAAGTGCCCCACCTTCTCACAGAAAAATCTGTGTGTCTTCAATATTTTAGGTGTTTTAATTTTAAGACTCACAAAGTTCTAGACCATTTTTCATATGTCTTGGCCACTTTTAGCATCATATATCGCTGGAGCGATAGCACAGCGGTAGGGCGTTCGCCTTACAAGCGGCCAACATGGCCGACCCGAGTTCGATTCCTCCGCCCCTCTCGGAGAGCCCGGCAAGCTACCGAGAGTATTCGATATGCCAGACACAGTAACAACAAAGTCTCCAATGGAGACGTTACTGGGCCCACTCGAGCAAATCGACGATCAACGGGAGGGCCTTTACCTTTACCTTACCTTATACCGCAAACAGGTCTACCTCCATCTCTGTCTTTCTATGTAATGTGCTGTGTTGGCTATTACCTTTGTCAGGTTTGGTGTCAGGGTTAGCTTTGTAAAGTGGCTTGCAAACACTGGTTATGGGAAAGTTTACAAATATTACTGAGTCTTACAATCCATTTTCAAACCTCTACTAGTGACATTTTACATAAAATTCTCTAATTTTGAGTTAAGGAACCAGATAACTTAGAAAATACTTGCAATTATCTTCAATTTATAAGAATTTAATTCAAATTTAACATTTAACTATTATAAATTAAACATTTATATCTTAGCAGGTAAAGTCTTTTCCCTCAGATCATGCATCTGTAACACAGATTATACAAGACAACCCAAAAGTGTTTCTTTTTCATACAAATACGACTAACAAAATTAAAATAGCTTCAAAACTCACAGCACTGGAGAAAGTCATTCCCATCTCCCCAATGAGAGCCTTTGTTTTCTTTAGCGGGGTCTGCAAAGCAAGCAATTTTCTGTTAGACCATTTCTTCCAAATTACAATGTAAACAGAAAGCAAAACTTCACATATTTTGCATCTTCCACTCAAGCCTTCCCTCCCCACTGGTCAGCTCCTACTGACACGGAGAAACAGCCTAGAGAGTTCTTCGTGATTCTCGAGGAGACTCAAACAGGTTTGGTGACAGTGAGATACTTCCTACACAGACACTCTTGGCATCTTCACGCTTGCAGAAAGAGATAGTTCAAAGCTGGTGACATTATTCTAGCAAACGTTGATTTCCACGTTAAAGAAAACTTTGTTCATCTGTCAACACCCCCTTGTGAGACAGGGAAAACCTATGTCTATTAATTTCTGTTTAGAAGCAGGTTAAGAGACTTCCCTCCTTAGGACACAAATAAGGTAAGAACTTCAAATGTGAAAACCAGAAAGACCCAAAATTTGGAGACACACTCAAATATCAGCCTCTCAACAGGGGAGTCCAGGTTTTCAAATGACGGGCTCTCTGCACTACACCAATGACCACCGAAGGTAGGCAAGGTAGGATGTGAACCAGACATACACGTATGCATCAAGCAAAGGCTATAGGTAGGAGTCATAAGTTACTCATAGCCTTCAAATCTTTTATTCAAAACCCACCATCCTGAAAAGCACAAAGAAATAAAATCATTTTAAAAATAATTTATGCTAAATAAAAGCATAAATCCATTTTCAAATCCTAGAGGGGAGATATTGGTATGAGATGGACATTTAAACGGTCATTTAAATAACAGGAACACTAAATCATCTGTATTCAGATTCCAAACAGCAAGAAAGGGCCATTGAAGAGCATCATCTCAGATGTATTTTAGGAGTCAATTATGATTCTGAAATATCTGTGAAACCTTAGTTCATAATGACTGCAGTTCAAGGTACATTCTGTGTGTATTTCTTGAAAGATAATCCAAACATGATGACAGTAGTCTCTCATTTTTAGCACTATGTCAATGACTTGCCCCATTACATACAGCAGGAAGCAAAAAGAAATCTTTAAGTTTAAAGGAAACAAATTCTAACTTATTCAAAAAGAGCTCTGAGGATTTCATGAGTATATTCATATGGTTCCCAGAAGATTCTGTAGATCAAGGCTCCTTAATCTTTTCCCTTTTAAATCCCTTTTCTCTCTAGGAATTTTTATGCGACCTGGAGTACATAGGCATATGTAATAGGTACACATATTAAACATTTATTGACAATAAATCATAAATCAAGAGCATTTCTTTTTTAAAGGCTGTGGCCACAGTTTAAGCAGCAATGCGCCAGACCAGAACTTTTTTTTCCAACAGCCACTTTGCAGAGCAGTGTTGGGCCACACGAAATATCCTGCCAGTCCATGAAAAGTTACCTTGCTATGTTTGAATAAAATTTTGATTTTATAACATCACATTTAAAAATATACATTATTTTCTTTTATTTCTGCCTTAGCAATGCACAAAATATTTCTATTTTACCAGTCCACAGTTGCGAGAACGTTGAAAACCATGGCCAGAGATGTAGCAGGTGTTTGGCAACCTTCAGTGGCAGCGTTTACAGCCAACCATCACAGCACACCCTTCAGGCCAGTGACCTTGGGCTGGTGAAGGATTTGGGGTTATAGTGGGGATACAGGAAGGGGATCCGAGGACGGGAAGCATATGGGGAAGAGGGCTTGTGAATTACTGAGATTGAACTTTCAGACTGTCTAATGGGCATGCAAAGCAATTGAAGAACGGTCCAGCCCACACTGTGTGGTTTTATGCACTTAGGAGACACACACGTGTGTGCCAGGCACATCCAGCGAACAGGGAACAGAGGGCTCCTGCCCTAGGGTCCTTGTGTTCTTGGGACTTAAGCAAGTAACAAGTAAACATTCATTTTAGGGGGGCCGGAGAGATAGTACAGCAGGTAAGGTGTTTGCCTCTCAGGCGGCTGCCGAGAGTTTGATCCTCCAACAAACACACCACATGTGGTTCCCAGCCCTCTGAAGCTCTGAAGTTGTCCCTGAGCACAGAGTCAGGAGTAAGCCCTAAGCACTGCTGGATGTGGCTCCAAAAAAAAAAAAAAACAAGCAAAAAACCCATACACTTCAGACATCAGAAAGTGTTATGAAGAGAATAAACCAGGAGGACCCGATTGCAGATGATGGAAGGGAAGAAAGAACTTATTAGATGGGTGGCCGAGAAAGGGCTCATTCAGTAGGGCATTTTGATAATTGAGAGGCGCCAGGTGAGTTAGCCTTGCAAAGGTCCCAGAGGAGCGAACAGACTGCCAGAGGAGGGGCACATGTGAGGGAGGAAGGGAGCGGAGCAGTGACGGCAGGGTGGGTCAGACAAGGCTACGGATACAGGCAGGAGCGAGGCCATGTCATGGGCTATCCAGGAGTTAGACTTCAGAATAAGAAATGTACTTTCCAGGCCAGAGCAACAGTATAGTGGACACTATCTGCCTTGCACACGTTGAGCCAGGTTTGATCCCCTGCATCCCACATGGTGCCTGAAGCCACTGGGAGTGATTCCTGAGTGCAGTAGTCAGGAGTTAGCCATGAGCACACTGGGTGTGGCCCCAAAACAAAAAAACAAAATTTATGTTAATCCTCACACTATTCTAGCAGCAATGCAAATGAAAACCAAATCCAGGGCTTAAGCAAACAACGTTCCCACTAAGGAAGCACACGGAACTGACATGTTTCTGGTCTACGCCAACCTGCAAGCCAAGACTGGAGCAGATAGCACTCTCGGACGGGCACTCTCACGCCTGCATGTGGGTGAATCTAGAATGCTGAAGACTTGCTTCCTGTCCTGGCTCCCATGCGCCATTTCCCTGGAAGTTTTTACAACTCCGGTTGCCAGTGGCTAACTCATTTTAATGAGAGAAACCCCTGTGCTTTCAGCAAAGACATGAAGCACTCTAGTTCCCGTTTATACTCATCACGCCCCTTCCTTGCCTAGGTTTTGACTGAATGTCATCTGTCCTAAAGAATTTTTTTAAGAAAGGCTTTTAGTCTTTTCTTTCAACTCAGTCTGAACTCTCCTCATCCAGACTGCACATTTTCACCTCCACATGAGAAGGAAGCTGCCGTCATAAGCCAGTGGGACACGCGAGGACCCAGGCCGCGGAGCAGTCACCTTCCATGAGCTCAGGGGTCAGACGCCTCCGTGAGGACAGCAGAAAATGCCTGACTTCCTGATTCGAGGAAATGATCTGGAGTGGGGGAGGAGGCTCATAAGCAGTGCTCAGAAAACTCGGGGGCACTCCTGCTGAGAGATACCTGGCCACCAGGCTGCCTGGATCAGTGCCTCGGCCTAGAGATCCTGGAGGATCATGTGACACTGGGCTCAAACTCAGGGCATATCCCTGACCACTGCACTAATTTCCCGGCCCCCAAGAACACTGTAGCATTGTAGCATTGTCCTCCCGTTGATCATCGATTTTCTCGAGCAGGCACCAGTAACGTCTCCATTGTGAGACTTGTTGTTACTGTGTTTGGCATATCGAATACGCCACGGGGAGCTTGCCAGGCTCTCCAAGAGGGGCGGAGGAATTGAACCCGGGTGGGCCGGGTAGGCCACGTGCAAGGCAAATGCCCTACCCACTGTGCGATCGCTCCAGCCCAATAACAACCCTAGTATTTTAAAAATAATTACACCTTAAAAATTTAATCATGTTGACTTCTATTTCAAAATGACTGTAAGTTGTTAATATGTATTACACAGTAAGAAAAGAGCTAAGAGCTATACCTACAAAGCTCTCAATGAAAAACTCAGGTCAGAGATGTAAGATCTAAAAAAAGAGAAACCTGTGCTTCTGTGGCGAAGAGATGTGCTCAGAGAGCTATAACGACAATCATGCAATATTAGTAGATAGCAGGGCCTAAGAGAGAGTGCAGCAGGTAAGTGCTTGCCTTGAGGCTGCTGACCCCAGTCGATCCCTGGAACTACCTGTGGCCCCCAAGTACTGCAGGAGTGATTTCTGAGCACTGCCTGGGTATGACGGGTATGACCCCTGCCCTCCCCCCCACCCAAAAAAAAAACCAAGCCAAAACCAAAACCAATCTAGAAACCTAAACTAAAAAGTAGAGTCCCAGCAGGGAGAACTGAAATAAATCCAGTTGAATATGTACAAGCAGGCTAAGGAGTTCCTTGCCTCACTGACATCCCCAAATGTCACCTGAAGCAACTCTGATCTGCGGAGGTGGCTACACTGGCTGGAAGACCCCAGGTGAGTCATCATCACAGTATCTTACAGAGAAGGGAAAAAAGATCACAAGATACCTAGGTTTTGCCCCCTATTACCCAAGTCAAACTTGCGCAAGTACTCAACCTCCTTTTAGTTTTCTCTGGTGATAAGGCGAAAATACCAACAGCAGAGGCCCCGGGAGCAGCCAGAAGACAGTGTAGGATACCTCACATGCTCACTGACGCCAAGCAGCTTCTCAGATGCTGTTATTATTGCCTTTCACTCAAGTCTGGCCTGAGGAAGCGCACGTCCCCAGAGCTGGGAACACTAAGATCTGACTGATTTCTTTCCTTCAATTTTGCCCCTCTCTCCAGTGTAAACACCAGTAAAGAGCAAGCTACTCCTGGGTCAAAGAAACAATGACCATGCTCAGGGAAGAGGCCACGTTTGTAGTGAGCGAGAATGGAAAAGTCTGAGTGCCCACTCTCTTTTGTGTGTATGTACAGTGCTGGGGACAGAACTCGGGGAAAGGATTCTAGGGCTGACCTACAACCCCATCCCAGAAATCCAATTTTCAAGATCTTATATTTGGGGGGGGGGGGGGTCTTCCAAACAACGTCTGGGGCCAGATAAAGGGGCCACTGCTGGTGACACCTGGGACGAGTGGTGCCGGCCCAGCGGTCCCGTGCTTAGTTGTCATCAGGCCACACCTGGCAGTCCTTGGAAGCTGCGAAGTGCTGGATTGAACTCAGGGCCTCCAATGCCAGGTATGTGCCCCGCCCCTCGAGCTGTGTCCCCTAAAGACATATATATCTGGGGGGTGAGGGGTGTTGGGGCCACACCCAGCAGTGCCTGGGGGCTGATCCCAGCGTCGTGCTTCTGAGTTCCATGTGTTGCTGGGGATTCAGTCTGGGGTTCCTACATGAAGCACATGTGTCCCAGACAACTGAGGCATCTTCCAGACCCCTGAAGACCTTACATTTAAGTGATGAATTTTATTTCACACAGTGACATAAGGTGCCTGTAGGCCGGAGGCTGAATCCCTGGCACTGCCCCAATGCAACCTGGCAACGCTGCCTCCTGGGATCCTTGGCCCCACACGTGTGCCTTCTCCTGCAAACCTCAACTAGGTGTGTTTAAGCACCACAACTAAAGTGAAGGGTATTCAGTAAACGCAACAATCTCTTCCCCAACCCTCCCAATCCCAACACCACGCCCCTCCCTGCACCCCCCCATCCTCCTCCCCCCCCCCCCCCAGCGACAAAAGGGAGTGGAGAGAAATTTTTAAAATACACAAAAACCAAAAAAACACAGAAAGAGCCAAGGGGCTAGGTCATGCTATAGAGCACACTGCCAGCCCTCACAAGATCCCAAGTTCAATCCCCAGCACCATGTGGCTTCCTAACTGTGCTGAAGTGGCCCCAATTAAAATGTCTTTTAAAAAATAATAACGATGTGGGGCTGGAGAGATAGCACAGCGGGTAGGACGTTTGCCTTGCACACGGCCGACCCGGGTTCGATTCCCAGCATCCCATATGGTCCCCTGAGCACCGCCAGGAATAACTCCTGAGTGCAGAGCCAGGAGTAACCCCTGAGCATCGTGGGGTGTGACCCAAAAAGCAAAAAAATAAATAATAATAGTGATGTGAACACTTGGCCTTTAAATTAAGTGCATTAGTCTATACTAAATTATTAGTTTTTAGAGATAACTTGCTTTAAAAAAAAATTCTCAAAAACAACAGTTCCTTTTTTTTTAAAAAAGAAAAAAGGTGCATCATGAGAAGGACAAGTCTGGGAGGTTGGAACCACAGTTAAAAATGAAGCAAAATCCAGGAGGGCAATGAAGTCAATATTCTTCAAATAGTCAGTGGAGCTGGGTAGAAACCAATGAGCAACAAGGCAAGGTGGCAAGACAAGGGTGAGCTGAAATGTAAATATGAGCCAGGAAAGACACTCATACTCTTGGGCAGTTATTCTACATCCCCGATATACATTCATATCGATAGGGCTTGCCTTTACCGGAAACCTTCTATTCTCTATATTACACAGGAAAGCAAAAATGCCGCTTGCTACCAACTAAACTGACCACACAGATCACATAAGGGCTAAACTCAGCAGTTACTAAGCAAGGGTGTTGTTCCTTACCCAGTAAAAGTTAGAAACCCCCTGCTTGAAGCAGTTTCATGCTTCAGCATCTGGCTGAAAAGTACAAAAAGAAACCAATTCTACTACATGTATTTAAAGTTTAAGAGGAACGCCCTACACTGATCAGGGCACTGGTCAAATTTTACCCAGGCCTCCTCCACTAAGAAAGTGGCCGGGGCAGCCACTTCATACATCTTCTTTGAGTAGGGGGCTAGGTAGACGTTCCAAAGGACACTGGTCCCCAATCACTAAAACAGAGAAGTAAAGTTAACTCTGAGAAAGCATGAAACACTCTCATGACAATATCCAACTGATCAGGACCGGGGATGTGTCCGCACATGGCCCTGAGTTGGATTCCTAGGACCACGTTTCCCTGAACCTTACGGGTGACTCAAGAGCACAAGGCCTGAGCACAAGTCTGATGTGGCTCAAAAACTAAAAAACAAGAATTCTCCACACACCTCAACAATATAAAATGGGAGGACTCTACAAGTGCCTCACACATCATGCAGGTGTCCAACTAGGCTAACTGAATGTACTCTGTACTGCACACAAAGCAGTAGTCATAGTTCGACAGATGAGCACATTTCTGCAACTATTTTATTAACATCAAGCACAGACATTGCACCAGGGAACAAAGGCAGAATGGTGGCCGAGGGCTCTCTCATATGACCCTCTCAATCCCAAAGCAAAGCAATCAAGTGGCTCTCAGCACCTGACGCACCTGCTCCTGACAGACTTGACCCAGCCCTCACTGGCCTCCCACATGTGTATCCTCTGTGTGTGTGTGTGTGTGTGTGTGTGTGGTGCGAGCATGAGTCAATCCAGAAGAGTCCAGGACACAGTTTTAAGGTTCAGGACTAGAAGGGGTGCGTGTGTGTGCGCGCGCGCACGTGTGTGCACGCATGAATCAATCCCGTGTTAGTGGTTCAGGACAAGAAGGTGTGTACGTGTGTGTGCATGAGTCAATCCCGAGTAGTTCAGGACAAGAAGGTGTGTGTGTGATGTGTGCATGAGTCAATCCAGAAGAGTTCAGGACGAGAAGGTGTGTATGTGTGTGTGCATGAGTCAATCCCGAGTAGTTCAGGACAAGAAGGTGTGTGTGTGTTGTGTGCATGAGTCAATCCAGAGTAGTTCAGGACGAGAAGGTGTGTACGTGTGTGTGCATGAGTCAATCCCAAGAGCTACAGGACGAGGTGGTGTGTACATGTGTGTGCATGAGTCAATCCCGAGTGGTTCAGGAGGAGAAGGTGTGTACGTGTGTGATGCGTGCATGAGTCAATCCAGAAGAGTCCAGGACACAGTTTTAAGTTTCAGGACTAGAAGGGGTGCGTGTGTGCGCGTGCGCACGTGTGTGCGCGTGCGCACGTGTGTGCACGCATGAGTCAATCCCGTGTTAGTGGTTCAGGACAAGAAGGTGTGTACGTGTGTGTGCATGAGTCAATCCCCAGTAGTTCAGGACAAGAAGGTGTGTGTGTGTGTGTGTGTGTGTGTGAGAGAGAGAGAGAGAGAGAGAGAGAGAGAGAGAGAGAGATGTGTGCATGAGTCAATCCATAAGAGTTCAGGATGCAGTTTTAAGGTTCAGGACAAGGAGGGGTGTGTGTGTATGTGTGTATGTGTGTGTGTGTGTGGTGCGTGCATGAGTCAATCCAGAAGAGTTCAGGACGAGGTGTGTGTGTACGTGTGTGTGCATAAGTCAATCCCGAGTGGTTCAGGACGAGAAGGTGTGTACGTGTGTGGTGCGTGCAGGAGACAATCCAGAAGAGACCCGAGGAAAGCACGGAAAGGAGAGTCCCGCGGCCCCTCGAGGCGTGCGGACCTGCGGAAACCCGGAGCAAACCTGCCCCGGGTGCAGGTGAGCGGCGGCCGGGGAGCCGGGTGGGAATGGGGGGGTGAAGGGGTGGAGAGGGCCGGGGAGCCCCGGTGGCAGGGGCGGGGCAGGGAGAGGATAAGTTACCATGCCGCCGAGCACCGCGTCCTGGTCGTCGGTGAGCAGCAGCACCACGTTGGGCCTGCGGAAGCCGGCCGCGCCCCCGGAGCCCAGCGGGCAGCCGCCCAGCAGCAGCAGCAGCAGCAGCAGCAGCAACGCGGGGCCGCCCCGCCGGGGCCCAGCCCGGGCCGGAGGCGGGAGCCGCATGGCGGGTCGGGCCTGGACCGCGCAGGGGGCCGGAGGGAGAGGCCGGCGAGCGCGGAGAAGAAAGCGCCGGACGACTGAGGCCGGGGCCGGGGTCAGGCGTTCTCCTCGCCCCCAGCGCAATCACGTGAGCCGGGGCACAGGGGGCGGGGCACGCCGTGCGCTCACGTGACGGGCGGCGGGGCGGGGCCAGCGAGGAACCCGGAAGGGGGCGGGGCGGAGCGCGGCCCAGGGGTTCCCGGGCTCCCGCGTCGGGCGGGCAGCTGCGGGGCTCCTCCCGCAGCCGGCGTCAGGGCAGGTGGGGGCGATCAACCGAGAGGAAAGGCCGCGGGGGGCGGCGGCAGGCTGCAAGCGGCCGGGGAGAGAGGCATCGGCCCCTGGGCCACGGCTGCACGCGACCCTGCTTAGCCCCGTCGAGGAACACGTGTCGAGCCTCTCCCCCAACGCGTGAGTTTTTTCGGGCTCTCCTCTGGCTCAGCTGCGGACCCTGGAACCGGACTTTCAGCTCGTCCGCTCGGCTCCCCCCTAGTTATTGCCATTCCTCAGCCCAGTACACCTGAGGACCCGACCGCCTCCTGTTCCTTCGAGTTAAGCAAAAGCGAGCCCCGCCCCCCCCCCGAAACATCCCCGGGTACCCATCCGTCTTATTCGTAATATTTCGGGGAAGGGGGGTCCATGAAAATGGGGCTCCGAATGGTTTCGTTGCAGCACTGCATTTTCCTCTCCACTCCTCCGCTAAAGTCTGGAAACACAGGATCTCTTGGAAGGGGAACCAATGAGCCCTATTCCCAACTCACTCACAACAGGCTGGACTTTCTCTCTCCTGACACGGAGTGAATTTTCTCTGGGCTGAACCTTCCCACCAAGGGGAACACAAGCATGCAACACCCCCGCGTCACTTACTGTGCTATCACGCTGGCCCCAGAAGACAGATTCTTAAAATGAAGTAGGGTTCCACTGCAAGAGAAAATTATACGGAAAATCTGGTCTTTTCCCAGACAGTCAGAATACTGGTTGCATTCAGCAGAACTAGGCAAGGCTAATTTTGCAAGCTGGTGGAATAGCTAACCCCCCACGTACTCAGATTTTAACTCTTCTAGGAGTCTTATAGACTTAATTGTCTATAAAATGAACTTGTTCCAGGGCCCTGTGCCATAGTACAAGCGTTACCACACCACTACAAGAAGCCCATCTTCCCCCTTCCTATAAAGACCTTTTACCATCTGGACTGGGATAACCCAGGTTGTCTGATTCTGGTTCAAGGCTACATGGTAATGTATTTGAGTCCAGAGATTTTGTAAGAAGGTACCCCATTTATTTCAAAGGTTGAACCAGTACTGAGGAAACAGCCCTTTCTGGGACCTTGCAATCTAGGGGTAGAGAGATCTACAATGTAATAAGTCACAGAAGCATATAATTACAAAAAGGAACACAAGGAAGACAGGCTACATGGAAAGAGTATAAGGAGCTAAATTTCAGGGGGTCAGAGACTGACCTTGTCTCTGATAGTCTGACAAAGTTATTTCAGAATGTCTGAGTGACATTCTGAAGTTTTTGTTAATGTAATAGTGGGCATGGGATGTTTCTTGAGGCAGAGAGCACAACATGTGCAAAGGTACTGAGCTGTTGTGTTCCAAGAACTGAGAGAAGGAGCCAGAGAGATAGTACAACTGGTAGGGCACTTGTCTGGTGTGCGGCCAACTGGGATTTTCTCCCTGGCACTACATATGGTCTCCTGAGCCTCCCAAGGAGTGATTCCTGAGTGCAGACCAAGAAAAAAAATATAACCCTGTACATCACCAGGTAATGCCTGAAAACCAAAACCCCAAACAAAAGAATTAATAGAAGACTGACTAACTTGTCGGGGCACCTCTGAGGGGCAGTTGATTCCCTCCATCCATCTCAGTAGAACCCGGGCAGCCAAAAACCTCCAAAATGCAATCGCCGCCATGCTTGTGGCCATCTCCACAGGCTCAGGAGGGGCCTCATTCATGAGAATAAATCTGCTGAAGAACTCAGGTATTCAGTTTTTTAGACAGAAATCTCCAGGCTCTCACAGATCCAGGGAAAGGCTAACACCCCCATCTCCCTGTCCTTCTGGGATCCTTGTAGCCATGTCCACAAACTGCCTCTGGTGCCACCTAAGCTCATTAATGGCCATGATCTAGAAACTCACAAATAAATCTCAGAAGAGATCAGCATGCTGCAGAGACACCCCTGCACCCTAAAGACACCATTCAGTTAAAAATTTAACCCCAGCTGTATTGCCCTATACAAACTTTTAGAATTCCTGGAGTGACATTTCATACTCTACACCACTAATGTACCAAAAGTAGCACACCACATTTGATGGGGTGTAAAGTATAAGGTAACCAATCTTGATTAAAAAAAATCAATTACCACCACAAACAAGCAATACAAAAATAAATTATTTAGGACCTGCTTTAGGAGCAGATTTGGGTGGTGGTGGGAAGGTATAATGGTGGTGGGGATGGTGTTGGAATATTGAATGTAATAAATTATTGTGAACAACTTTATAAAAATAAAATTTAAAAAGTGAAAAAGAAGACTGGGTTGGAACTGTGAGGGACAGGGAGACGAGAAGACAGGCAGACCCCAGAGCTATGTTAAAGGGTGAGATTAGTCCTGAGGTTCTGATAAATCATAGAAGGAGTAAAAATAATTAAAACTTTTTTTTTGGGATTTCAGGTCATACCTAGCTAGCTCTGTGCTCAGGGATCGCTCCTAGTAGGGTTTGGGGACCATATGGGGTGCCAGAGATTGTACTCAGTTTAACCACATGCAAGGCAAATGCCCTATCAGCTGGACTATTTTGCTGTCCCTTCATTATATAATTTTTGTTTATTTGGGGTCACACCTGGCAATGCTCCTGGCTTGGCACTCAGTAGCACCATGGTGTATTCGATATGCCAAACACAGTAACAGGTCTCACAACAGAGACGTTACTGGGCCCGCTTGAGCAAATCTATGAACAATGAAAGGACAGTGCTGCAGTGCTACAATTCCTGAGAGTAGAGCCAGGAGTAACCCCTGCCTGATCACCACCAGGTGTGCCCCCAAACAAACAATAATAACAAAACTTTTTTTTTTTCTTTTTGGTTCACACCTAGCGATGCTCAGGGGTTAGACCTGGCTCTGCACTCAGGAATTACCCCTGGTGGTGCTCAGGGGACCACATGGGAGGCTGGGAATTGAATCTGGGTCGGCCACGTGCAAGGCAAATGCCCTGCCCGCTGTGCTATTGCTCCAGCCCCCAACAAAACTCTTTTTTGAGGAGGGGCATACCTGACTGTGCTCAGGGCTTACTCCTGGCTCTGTGCTCAGGGATCACTTCTAGTGGTTTTCAGGGAACCATAGTGCCAGAATCAAGCTCACATCAGCTGTGTGCAAGGCAAGAGCCCTATCTGTTGTACTACCTCTGTGGCCCTAAGTAATGTTTTATTAATTAGCTGCCAGGCATATTTCTTCATATTTATCTTATATTTTATGGCCATATAATCTTTAATTGTATATCAGTCAGTGGTTTGTATACAATAGTTTGTGTTATTTTATAGGAAAACAATAAGAAGATAATTTAGTCTTTTCTCTAGTTTAGATGTCTGGTATCTATTTTTAAAATTGATCTGATATTTTCTCACCCTTATAGCTCATTATTGGTATATTCACACTAGATTTGTCAAATCTCAGAAAGCTCTATCAAGCATCTGTGTGGGTACTTCATGCATTTCATATTTGCAGTTACTAATCTCTTGTTGTCTTTGTATTGGAAACACTTACTTAAACATACCAATTATAATCATGTATGATGAGATTTTTTTATTGATTACCAGTTTAAAGTCATATTAGAAATTTATTTTGAGTTTATGTGACTCACTGCTTCACAAACTGATCATCAGTCAAGAACCTATTTATAACTACCTGCAATTTCTCACTTTCCTCTAATGAATTATAATTTCTTTTTGATCTAAGTGTTGCATGATGATTCACTTCCAATATCAGAATGATCCTCTTGCTTTGGTGGCATAGTGGTGAGCATAGCTGCCTTCCAGAATAATTCCTCTTGATTTTCTCACTCTTTTCACTTTGGTTTCATGGATTTTGTTGTTGTTGTTATTGTTTTGGCTTGCACCTGGCTGTGCTCAGAGATCACTCTTGGCTTTATGCTCAGGGATAACTCCTGGTGGTGCTCATGGAACCGTAGGTGGTGCCAGGAATGGAAGATGAAACCTGGGTCATGATGGAACCCAAGTTGGTGGCGTGCAAGGCAAGTTCCTCAGCCATTGTACTATCTCTCCAGTTCCTGTTTTATAGGTGATTACTTGGGGGAGAGTGTGTAATCTCACACAAAGGGGGCACGGCACACACAGTGGCGGTGGCTCTATCTCTCCCGCCGCCCGCGTTCGGTAGTCTCACCCTTCTCCCACCCTGGGCAGGTCAATGGCGATGGTCAGGCGGAGGAAGGAAACGAGGGCCAGCCTGGCTGGTAGTAGTCGCAGTTTATTCCGATCCTCTCTCTATCTACGCCAGTCTCCCTTCTCTGCCTCTGCTCCCTCTTCCTCCCCCATGCTACTTCATTCTCCATCCTCCTTCATCCTCCTTCTCTTCCTTCTGATCCCCTTCTCCTTCCTTCTGACCTCTGCTTCTTCCTTCTCAACCCCTAGCCCACTCCTACAGTCTAGTTAAATTCCAAAGCATGAGGGGTTGGGGTTAATAATTACACATAGGTGTGGTCACAGTCATTAGGGGTAGAACTCTTAGCCTCAGGGAAAGCACTCCTAGGACAGATCCTTTCTCAGCAGGAGGATCCACCTGTATCTATACAAAAAGGATATTACTTTAAGGTAAACTGTTCATAAGGCATAAGGAGAGGAGAAAGGCAATATTTCACTTATACATATAAAATCATAGATTTCTGGGAAACTGATCTTACAAATTAACAGTCTGATTAAGGGGAAAGCTGATTAACTGGGTGGGAAGGAGAGCATAGGGAAGACTGTTTACAGA